TTTTAGGCGCCAGCGTGCTAGGCGGCTTCCTGGGTCTTTGATTGAAAATAGCCAAGTAAGAGGTCGATGATCAGTGATAAGAGTAAACTTGCGACCGAAAAGATATGGTCTGAAATGTTTTACTGCCCATACTATAGCTAGTAATTCTCTTTCTATTGTGGAATATTTGGTTTCCGCACTGCATAGTGTTCGTGATGCATAAGCGATTGGCAGATCTTTTCCTAATGGGCCTTGTGACAAAACGGCTCCAATTGCGAAAGCACTAGCGTCAGTAGTGAGTAAAAAAGGTTCTTCAAAATTTGGATATATGAGAATTGGGTCTGTCATTAGAATATTTTTGAGATCGTTGAATGCTTCCTTACATTCGGCATTAAAAACAAAAGGGACTTCTTTTTGAAGTAATTTAGTCAGTGGTTTGGAAATTTTGGCAAAATTCGGTATAAATCTGCGGTAGTAACCTACTAGGCCTAAAAATGATTTTATTTCTTTAGTTGTCTTGGGTTCTGGGAAACTTTTTATGCATGATACCTTGGCAGGATTTGTTTTTACTCCGTGTTCAGTTACGAGGTGTCCTAAGTATGCGACTTCTTTTCTTAAGAATTCACATTTATCCGGTTGTATCTTCAGATTTGCTTTTCTTAATCTTTTAAATACTTCTGTCAGTCGTGACATATGCTCATGAATGGTGGCTGAATAGATGATTATGTCGTCCATATATACTAAACATCTCTCGTTTTGAATTCCTAAGAGGATGTTATCCATTACTCGTTGAAATGTGGAAGGAGCATTCCTTAATCCGAAAGGCATACGAACAAATTCGTAATGTCCGTTGTCTACTGAAAATGCTGTTTTTTGGATATCTTTTGGATCGATTTCAATTTGGTGGAATCCGGACGCCAAATCTAATGTTGTAAAATATTGACACTTTCCAAGTTGGTCCAACAATTCTGAAATTTGTGGAAGTGGATAACGATCTTCTATTGTAACTTCATTAAGTTTACGATAGTCAATAACGACTCTCCATTTCTGTTTGCCAGATGCGTCAAGTTTTTTGGGTACCACCCACACTGGACTTGACCAGGGCGATATGCTATGCCGAATTATTCCTTGCTCTAGCATTTTGTTGGTTTGCGTCTTTACCTCTTCTTTATGAACCTGTGGATATCTGTAAGATTTCGTGTATATCGGTTTCGCGTTGTTCGTTTTGATTGCGTGTTTAATTTCATTTGTGAATGTTAGCTTGTCACCTTCTACGTAAAATATATCTGAAAATTCCGTACAAATGTTTAGAATTTGTTCCTTTTCTTCTGAGTTTAAGTGGTCAATTCTCAGTTGTTCTCTAATTATTTCTTCTCTGTCTATAATTGGCTGTTCGCAGTGATTTTGATCGTAGGTGAAGATTGTCTCCAAGTTTTCGATAGGTTCGATGGAAATATTCGAAAATTCGATTATTTTTGGCATTGCATTAGCATTAATGACGGAAGTTAAAAAGTCTCCATTTTCGTCTACATGGACTAATGCGTGAGGAATTCGAACTTTTTCGATTTCTTGGGATGACAGTATGGCGTCTGTATTGGATAGGTTGCATTTCAATTTGAATATTTGTTCTGTTCGGCTATCAATCGAAATTTGGTTTATTTTTTCTTTTATTCGTTTTTTCTCTGGTCTTGGGATGTGTTTGTGTTGATCATGAGTGTTTTCGTGAAATGAGATGCTATTGTGTTGAGCTTTAACGTTTGAGTTTGATTTCGGATATGTTTGGAAATTATTTGACGGTACTATTTTTGTAGGAAATGTAACCGGAATATTTTCTATGGGTTTATGGGTCTCTTGTCCGACTTTATGCAGGGTAAGAGTTTTAAAATTTGTATGAAGTTGTCTTGTTTTAAGGTCTATTACACATTCGTAGTGGTCTAGGAAATCTAGGCCTATTATGCCGTCAAAGTCAATGTCTAGATTAAAAATGAAAACTTTGTGAGGGTTGTCATCGGTAAAGGGAATAAGGACAGATTCTGTAATTAGAAGTTTCTCGTCGGTTATGCCTTGAATGGTAACATTTTCTGGGGATCGGTTATGATAATTTCGTGCAGTATGCTCTTTGAAAACTGTAATTCCTGCACCGGTGTCAATTAGAAGTTTAAAAGTATTCGTAGCGTCATTGATATAATATAAGTTTTTAGAGCTCATTGTGTGGAAGGGGCTTACAGGAATTTCTGTTCGGGGAAATTCACATTTGGATCGAAATTGTCCAAATTGAGGGCTTGGATTTGTTGTTGTACATTCGTAATATCGGTTGAAAGATTCGTATGTACTGGGGGATGGTTCTGATTGGGTAGCGAAAGAAAATCCTGATAATTTTCTGTATCAGGTGTATTATTAATATAATCAGATGTGTCATTGGTATATTCGTAAAAATAGTTAGTTTGAAGATCATTTTCTGTATAATAATCTTCATAAGATTCTACAAGATCGTCAGGGTATTCATTAAAGACATGGGCTCTTTGCTGAAAATTTTGGAAATTTGGATTTCTCTGAATAACAGAGGGACGATTGTGCGGTTGATTTTGAGAAGGGAAATTCGATCTCTGTGGGTTTAAATTTTGTTGATTAGAAGAGTATTGGTTTTGATTACTTGGGTAATTTTGTGATCTAGTATTATATTGATTGGATTGGTTTTGATTATTTTGGTAGTTTTGTGGTCTACCGCTATATTGATTTTGATAAGAAGAAAAACGTGATGAGCGACATTCGCTACTTAAATGGCCAATACGACCACAACTTGTACATTTAGAAAAATTAGATGAGGTTCTTCTCATCGGTTGGGAAGGTTTTGGATTATTTTGGCTATCTTTATTTGATTTTTGAGATTCGAAATAAGATAACTGAAGTTCACGTCGGATACGGTTACTGGCTTCAATAAGGTCTTTAGGGTTACTGGCCCTAATTATTTGTCCTAAGCGGGGTTCTAGTCCAGTTAAGAGAGTATTCAAAGCCATAGAGTCAATTAACGTGCATTGGGCGGTTTTTTGGTCTTGTGTTAGGCCTGATTTTTGAATTGAGGCGTGCATGTTTGCATTTAGAACTTGTAATCTGTTGAAAAAGGTTAAAGGTGATTCGTTCGATAATTGTCGAAGTCTTTGTAGGTCGTGAATTAAGGAAGTGAGATCTCTACTATCTCCGAAATGAAGGTTTAATAAATTTTTTATGTCTGTGTATGAAGTTGGTTTTCTAGAGTTTATTAATTGAGCTGCTTTACCTTTTAGTTTATTTTTAATGTGAATCGTTAATAAAATACGTTGGTCTCCCGAAGACATTTTAATCGCGCAATCACATGCGTCTAAGAATGTGGGAAGAGAGATTGGGTCTCCTTCAAACTCAGGAATTATGGAGAATATTTCTGAAAGTTTGTATGGTTCAATTTCAACTTGGGTTTGTGAACGTGTTTCAGGCATTTTGATAATAATATGTTAGTGGAAGTATAAAACAAAATATACGAATAGTAAATATGGTAAAATAAAATAAAATGTAGTAAAATCAAGTAAAATATGGTAAAATCAAGTAAAATGTGGTAAAATAAAGTAAAATATAGTAAAATATAGTAAAATATAGTAAAATATCGGTGAAAATATAATACGAAATCAATAAAATGTGTAAATAAGAATGATAAAATAATAAAAGTATGCAATAAAAAGGTATTTCCTTATTAGATAATCAACTTGGCTTGACTTTCTGTATAGTCAAGATTATAAATTGAAAAAATTATGATGTATGTACGGTATGTTTGCAAATATAAAAATAGTAAAAACGAGATGATTCAATAACTTACATTAACAGAAACATCGAGTACGTCTTGTTTTCTAACGGGATCTGCTACCAGGGGCTTCACCAGGTGTTCCTTCCGTAGTATCCAGTTGAATGAGGACGGCTCTAGGTTCTTTTTCCGTTGAGGGATAGGGATCCGCCGTTGCTAGTGAGTTTCCTTGTTCTAACAACGTTAACCGGATCCTACTGACTGCGCCAAATGTTAAATCACTAACTTCTTGATTGACTTTTTAAAAAAGATTTATTTCACAAATAAAAGTTACACTTAGTTATACGATAAAATGAAGCAAATAAAATTATATAATACAAATGTTATTAGTAAGAAACTTATATGACGAGTGAAAAATATAATGTTAGTCCTGAATTTATAATCTATCTACAAAATGTGGTGTCGGCATTTCCCACGAAATGCCAGCTTTGGTCAGAGTTTGATGTCCGTGCATAGTCAGCTATCTCTATGGGAACGCTTGCTAAAAGAATGATGAAATAGGAACTGATATTGCGAAACCAAAGTGTCGGTAACCCTTGAGTGGTTCAAGGTGACTATTTTCACATATAACATATATATATATATATATATATATGTATATATATATATATATATATATATATATATATATATATATATATATATTATATATATATATATATATATATATATATATATATATATATATATATGTATATATATATATATATATACATATATATATATATATATATATATATATATATATTCAGTTTTAGCATTTAGTATTAGTGATTATTAGTATTTTTTTAAATATAATGCATCTCAGCTAAAGCTAGGAAATTGTATCTAAGGAAATGTTAATTTTAATAAGAGTTGCACACATTTGCTCTTAATGACAATATTGCAGAATATGAAAAAAACACTTAAAAATAGCATATGTATAGAATTTTTGTCGACTGGTTTTCCAAACTGATGTATAACTACAAACGAAAAAGAAACAGAAATATTGAAACACCCATAACGAGATGGAGTAAGGGAATAAAACAGACCACAGGACCTAACCTATTTAGCCTGCTGTTGATGTTGATAACGCCTCTTTTATGCACCTGGGTGTATTTAATATGATACTAACCCTTTTACACGTTTGAAATTCGCATAAGTAGGAAATTTTTCTAAACTTTAATTCATATTTTACTTTTTTACTTACTTGTTATTAAGGATGCAAGCATATTGCTCGTAAGCCGCGAAGTCTGTCAGATATGAATAGACTTTTGGACAATTCACCAGCAAACTGCAAGTTCCTTCGCGAGTATTCCTGACAGGTGTAGGACTACATTTTCCATTAGCGGCAACAGTGTCAAACGCGTCCAAATCGTATGCACCTAAGAAAATTATTAAAATAATACATAAACAAATATAAAATGTTTTTTAATCTGGGCAATTCTTGCCATGGTAACTTATTTACCGTATTCCAATTCCAGCAAATTAAGAAACATGTTTTTGACACTAATAATCCGGGTATTTGTCAAACTGAATTACTACATTATAATATTGACTGTGAAGTTGCAATCAGGAAGTCTTTGTGGATACCATTATAAGATTTTGTGGCAAACTTTTTAATACTGTGATCGTTGCTTTAGTTTTCCCCACAGGCACATAAAAAAGATGTTTTCTGTATATATGTTCAAACCCTGGTGGCTTGTGATTCCAACAATGCAGAAAGCCCCAAAAAACCTTCTTTTTTAGGGTTTTTGTGGGGTTAACAATTGTATGTTTTGAGATCTATACAACTTCGTTTTATGTGACTAAAAACTAAGACTTTTAAGACGCAATTATAGCACGCCACCCCCTCCATTTCATGGAGTATTTACCACATTGTTTTGCGTGACATGTTTGCTAAATCTTTATCTTTTTTAACCAGTGCAAAAAACTTTGTTTAATGTCGGCGGTAAATTTTTAAAGAAAAAGCTATGCACGATCGCTCGGAACTGCGTATAAACTACTACATCGCAAGTGAACTTTCTACTGTCCACACTTTTGGTTACTTTTGGTAAAGCCGGATTTATAAACGGACATAAACATAATTTTAGTCTTTAACCATAACCTTATTATATAAGCATAATGTTGAAAGTTAATAAATAAATGTACCCATTTAAAAGCATTCATAATACATAAAACATAAATTTAGTCCTTAAAACGTGACCTTCAAAGTTGGTAACTTTCAACATTTATGAATTAAGTATTAAACATTATGGAATTGTTGGAATATGCGCATGTGTAATCCAACGTAAAAAATTAAAGAAATGTTCCTCATCCCATTCCTTATCACGCTTTCTATTTATGGGTCTTACACTATACCTTTTTACTCTTCTTTGCTTGTTAAGAACTCTGGCAGATATAGTCGATACAATTGTTAAATAAGGTGGGACTGCTGTCATGGCCAAAGCAACTTTTCTATTAATCTTCATATTTATTTAAAATTATTTCACTTTTCTATGAATCTAAAGACCAGAAAAAATTCTTCAAGATCTATAAAAATTTGGTTAGGTTTGTATTTTCTGAAGTAGTTTTTAAATATTATGGTTAGGTATTATGTCTAGTTATAAACCAATCTTAAATCTTGTGAATTATAATTGTGGTTAAAGTTATGTTTATGACTTATGATTATGTACTATGTCTGTTTATAAACCTGGCTTAAGTTTTCTTGTTTTTTTATGGGTCTTAGTCCTTCTTTTGCGCTTCATTGCGTATTTTAGAAATAGTAGTAGAACCTATCCCCGTCATAACACTTACATTATCAATTAAACTTAAAATTTAAATTAATATAATAATTAAACACATTTGGAATAATTTGTTTTGCACCGATATTCAAGATATTCCCTTGGCTTAATTTTTGAATTTCCATTTTCAACGAACATTTAACTGTGAAGTTAGAATAACTACTAAAGAACCACAAAGCCTTATCATTATAAATACGAGGTACGAAAACAGTTTGTAATGTCCATAATTCTAACGGCATGTTTTATTCTCACCAAAAAACAATTACCCTCTCGTTAATATAATAAAAATAAAATAAAATAAAATTATCTATTGTAAATTATATTTATTTAATTAAAATCATCTTCCCTACTTTTCATTTGTTGTGTCCAATGGGCACTTTTGGTCAGTTACGTTAGAAAATATTAATTTTAATTTATTTCTGTGGAAAAGAAAATACAACTACAACCCTGAATCGTGCTCTTCTATTGTCTATAAGAAACACGTGTTAAGACTTTAAATGGTTTCAAGACGGCTCTGTCGTCTTTAGAACGACGCAAACATAGCTTAGCTTAGCGACGGCTTGTCGCTAAGGCAGATTAGAAATTCCCGTTACGATATATTTTGGAAAGTACCTACCTTTGGAAGGCTACCTAGCAATCCTCATTCGGCATTATTCTGTTTCAATTAATCGAAGTAACATCATGTAAAATATTATTATAATATTAATATATTTGTAATATTTTTTAGTTGTATTATTACAAACAATTAAGTTTTCTTTTCTATATTATAATAGTCACATATAAGTATTAAATAGTTTCATGTACGGTCTTGTGTTCTTTACTAAAACCACGGGAAGTCCAAATAATATTTAGCAACAAGTAACTGAAAGATATTTTTTTTTATTATTTTTATATTTTGTTAAGTTTGCTTCGTTGCCCTTATTAGTTGCCCAAAGGCAAACTTAGTAGTAAACATTAAAATATTTATTAGCATTTTGAGTATTAACTTACCTCCTAAAATGTTTATAGTTCCATTTCGGTTTTGGGCACTTCCCAACCAGCCTAGATCCCTATACATTAAATCCACTGAAAAATGTATGCATATAAATTATTTAAACCAAAAAAAATGTGGGATTGCTACAATATGAATAGGACTTCACTAAAGTGCAATGTTAAATTAAAAAATTACTCAACCAATCGCATAATATATACGTCTACAAAGCTCAAGTTGATTGTTCAGATATGATTAATAATAATATGAAATACTGTGAATAAAAAAGATAATGTCAGGTAGGGATTGAGAAAGAAAAAAAGCTTAGGCTTAACTTAGCTGTATTGCGATTTATTGTCCAACGGGATATAATATTTTTATCTTCTTCTTTGGGTACCGTCTTCAATGAACGTTGGCGATAACCTCAGCAAAATCATTTCTGTCCCTGGCTTTTCTTATTAAAGATTGAGAATCCAAACCAGTCCACTCACGAATGTTCTTCAACCAGGACGCCTGCCGTCTACCAGGACCACGTTTTCCTTCTACCTTCCCCTCTATAAGAAGCTGCAGTAGCTGGTATTTCTCATTTCTGTATATGTGTCCCAAATATCAGGTTTTCCGTGTTTTCATTATTTTTAAGAGTTCTCTGTCGGTACCCATCTTGTGTAGGACCTGCTCGTTGCTCATATGCGCTGTCCAGGGGACTTTCAGCATCCTTCGAAATAACCACATTTCAAAACTTTCCAAACGCCTGAGTGAGTTGATTTTGAAGGTCCAGGCCTCCATTCCATATAGTAAGGTGCTGTAAACGTAACATTTCAGCATTCGGTATCGGATTTTGAGATTGAGTGTTTGGGACGTAAACATTTGTTTCATTTTTAAAAAGACATTTCTTGCTTGTTCAATTCGCTTATCTAGCACCCTAGATATCGAAATTTCTCGATATTTTCGATAATGTTACCATTCACGTTTAAAGCCATGGGTGGATGGATGGATGTTTTGGAGACAATCATTGTTTTTGTTTTTTTTTGACGTTAATGCTGAGGCCGTATTGTTCTCCGATCGGTCTGACGCGATCTAAGAGTGTCTGGAGATCCTGTGCGCTCTCTGCAATTAGGACCGTGTCGTCGGCGTATCGTACATTATTTAGAACTCTGCCGTTAATTTTAACACCTTCTCTTGATTGCTCTAGTGCTCGTGCAAAGATTTCTTCCGAATATATATTGAAAAGTAGTGGTGACAATACACACCCCTGTCGTACACCTCGCTTGATATTGAATATTTCTGTGTCACCGGCTTCTGTTCTAACTGCTGCAGTTTGGTTAAAATACAGCGTTTGGATAATTTTAAAATAGTTCTCGTCTAGTCCCTTTTTGTGAAGGCAATCCATCAGCTTATCATGTTTTACTTTGTCGAAGGCCTTTTGATAGTCAATAAAACATAAAAAGAGATCCTTTTTTTGGTCTCGACATTTTTGCAGCAGTATAATAAAACTGGTTAATGCTTCCCGTGTCCCAAATCCATTTCGGAAGCCAAATTGTTCATCACTGATATCCTGTTCACATTTCTTATAAATGCGTTGGTGAATAACTTTCAAGAATAACTTTAACATATGCGACATTAAACTAATAAGTCTAAAATCACCACACTTCTTTGCTCCTTTAGTTTTTGGAAGGGGAATAAAGACTGATTTTAACCAGGCTTGTGGAATTTCACCGCTTGTATATATTTGATTAAATAATTTGACGATTATATTTAAATGTTTCTCTTCCAGTAGCTTTATGACTTCCGTATGTATGTCATCGGGGCCAGGGGCTTTCCCATTTTTTGCGTTTTTGATTGCTCTCTCTACTTCTTGTTTTAATATAGGAGGACTGGTTTCATGGTTTTTATATATTATGTTGTTTAGTGGTGTGTCCGAGAATAGTTCTTCTATGTAATGTCCCCATACGTTGTTTAGATCGCTTAATTCCCATATCGTTTCATTCTCGTCGTTTGTTAATCTACAAGGGAGTCTTTGTTTTGTCATTCCAGCTAGATCTTTTATTTTTTTGTGAAGCGTTTGACTGTCGTGTTTCTTTATTAATTCTTCGATCTCTTGGCAGTTTTCTATCATCCAATTTTCTTTTGCGGTAGCTATTTCTTTCTTGATTTGACGATGTATCTCCCTATATTTTTCATTATTTTTCAATATTTATAGAAGAATTTATTACTTAATAAATTAAGCAACTACTTATAGACAGAGATTTTAACGCTGAAGATAGCCATTAGGACTCTTGTCTTTTTTTTTGAACCCCGACACGGCACGTCCTATATGGCTGATAGGGAAAGTTCCTGCAGATATGCAGGACAGGTACGAATAAGGCATTGCCAAATAAGTACCCGCAGATCAATTGAGGATATCACATTAGGCTGCAGTAATGTCATTACTGGATTAAGGCTGTGGGAAGTAAAAATCCTGTAGGATTAATTCCAGATACTCACAGGCGACACTCACATTATGAGTTAAGCGGCTGTGATACTGCGATCTTAGGGCACTCTTTTGTCCTGGAATTTGAGAAATCGGCTTCGAAGGCGGAGGAACTAAGACTTTTAGTGAACGGGAAAAGGATGCAGAAGGCAAGGACAAACCACTGCATTAAAGACTTCTTGTAAGTATCTCTAGTACAATTATCATGGTGATAAAAAACTTTAATATTCCGATTACTGATCATGAAAATCGGAATTAAAGATCCGACAGGGAAGGTAAATCTAGCTCAAACCGTGAGGCCTTCCAGGTCGTTATCAAGAGAAATCCCCATGAACCAGACTACATTCTAGATGATGGATCTCTACCAGTATTGCGAACAGCCATAAAGATAGGTACATGGAACGTTAGAACAAGGTACGAGGCGGGAAAAATCTATAACGCCATTCAAGAAATGGAAAGACTCTCGATTAGTATTATGGGAATAAGCGAAATGCGCTGAACAGATACGGGATACCGAGTTATCAAAGATCACAAAATATTCTACTCAGGAAATCTTAAGAACGAACATATAAATGGAGTGGGCCTAATTATGAATAATAAAATCGATAATAGTGTCAGTCACTTTGTATCTGTATCAGAAAGGATGCTCTTAGTTTAGCTAAACACAACTCCCATAAAAACAAACATTATTCAAGTGTACGCTCCTACAGCGGACGCCCCAGAAGAAATTATAAAAGAATTTTACAATGACCTTAATAATATTGTCAAACGGATTCGGAAAAACGAAATAATAGTAATAATGGGAGACTTTAATGCCAAAGTTGGTAAAGGACAATGTGAAAATGTAGTGGGATCCTTTGGTCTAGGGGAACGTAATGAACACGGAGACCGTTTGATTGAATTTGCAACTAAAGAACAGCTCGTAGTGACAAATACCTTTTATGATCTTCTTCAAAGACGACTATATACGTGGAAATCTCCCCAGGATACTCCAGAACACACAGTACGAAATCAAATAGACTATATTCTTGTTAACAAACGATTTAGAAACTCTATAACATCTGTTAAAGCTTACCCAGAGTCCAACATAAATTCGGACCACAATACACCCAAAATGAAACTTAGTTTAAAGAATATTGTTCTAAAGCTATTTTCTTGTGGCATTTTAAATTAATTACTATTTAACTGGGAATAAGCCACATTTAAAAATAAAAATACGTTTATTGACGTTTCAATTTCCACTTCGGAAATCGTTATCAAAATACAAACAGTAAATTGACTGTTTGTATTTTGATAACGATTTCAGAAGTGGAAATTGAAACGTCAATAAACGTATTTTTATCTTTAAATGTGGCTTATTCCCAGTTAAATAGTAATTAGTTTAAAGAAAGTTCAAAGACCAAAATTACGAAGTACGATATTAACCAACTGAAAAATAAAACAGTAAATGAAAAGGTACAAAAACGCCTAAAAAAACGTGGGCTTGATGACGGAGGAGATTCTATGTATGGTGGAAGACAGAAGAAACGCTAAAGATAATAAGAATTACTACAACAACATAAATAACGAAATAAAAAGGGCTATTAAAATAGCAAAAGAAAATTGGTTTAGCTCGAAGTGTACAGAGATAGAGTCATTTCAACGAAAACATAATTCATTTAACCTCCATAAAAAGATTAAAGAAGCGGCAGGCTTATATAAACACAAGTACACTGGATTCCTGACAGATAATCAGGGAAACATAGTACTGGAAATAGAGCATAAAATGGATATTTGGATTAAATACGTGGAAAAAACTTTTAAAGATGTACGAAGTAACACTGGTACCACAACAAACACCAATTGCGAATCTGGACCACCATTTATAGTCGAAGAAGTAAAACATGCCATCAAAAGCACCAAAGATGGTAAAGTAGTAGGCCCTGATAATTTTCACTCAGAATTCTTAAAACTTATGGACTATGATGGCATAAAATGGTTGACAAATATATTTAACAATATATATGATACAGGCATAATTCCCCAATAATGGTTAGTGTCAACTTTTATAAATCTTCCAAAAAAAACCCATTGCGAGAAAGTGCGAAGACTATAGAATTATAAGCCTTATAAGCCATTTACTAAAAACATTTCTGGAAGTCATTCACAAAAGAATATATACAAAATGTGAGGAACAACAAACAAGAACACAATTCGGATTTCGTAATGCTCTGGGAACACGGGAGGCCCTTTTTGCTGTACAGGTACTATTTCAGAGATGCAGGGATGTAAATTGTGACATATACGTATGCTTTATAGATTACCAGAAGGCATTTGACAGAGTAAAACATGAAAAATTAATGACTCTAGTGCAAGAAATTGGAATTGACAACAAAGATCTTAGAATTATCAGATCTTAGAAAAACATTTACTACAATCAAACGGCCAAAATTACAATAGAAGACCAGTTAACTGATAAAATTGCAATAGAACGTGGAGTACGACAGGGCTGTATTTTGTCTCCATTGTTGTTCAATATCTATTCTGAATGGGTATTTAAGGAATACTAATAAACGGTGAATGGTTGAATAACATAAGACATGCAGATGACACTATAGTTTTTGCCGATAATCTGAATGACTTACAGATATTAACAAATCGCATAACAGAAGTCAGCAACAGATACGGACTAGCTCTTAACACAAAGAAAACCAAATTTATGACAATTAGTAAAAAACCAATACTAAACGCTCAACTTACAATCAACCGACAGAATATCGAAAGAGTCAAGCAATATACATATCTAGGCACCAATTTAAATAGCCAATGGGACTACGCAACAGAAATTAAACAGTGAATAATAAAAGCAAAAGCAGCATTCGTTAAAATGAGAACCATTTTCAACAGTCGAGACATATCATTAAAAACAAAATGCCGTCTATTGAACTGCTACATATTCACAGTTCTGCTCTACGGAATGGAAGCGTGGACACTGACTGCTGCATCTATGAATCGGCTCGAAGCTTTCGAAATGCGGTGTTATAGGCATCTTACGTATATCCTGGGTTGACAGAGTTACTAATGTGAAGGTCCTGCGTAGAATGGGGAAAGAATGTGAAATTCTCATGACCGTCAAAACTAGAAAGTTGAAATATCTAGGACATGTAATGAGAAATCAAGAGCGTTACGGCCTTATCCAGCTGATTCTCCAAGGGAAGGTAAATGGTAAGAGAGGACCGGGAAGAAGACGCATTTCCTGGCTTCAAATTTTACGAAAGGGGTATAACACGACTACCACTGAACTGTTCCGCGCTGCAGTAAACAAAGTAAAGATAGCCGTGATGATCGCCAACATCCGGAAGGATAGGCACTTTAAGAAGAAGATCATTGATGAAGAACATAAAATTACTTTAATATAAAGAAATAGTAAAGAACAAATATATAAAATATATCGTCGGTATACTGCGAGAACCAGGTAAATCACAAATTTTAAAATATTGAGTTAGTATACCAAAACTCTCAGCTTTTCCCGCTCTACATACAGGTAAAACCCAATAAATGATACGACTTACCATTCAGCAGATAATTTGTGGGATAAACAAATAAGTTACACCTAACCAACTTTTCATTTTCAAACAAAACAAAATATCGCTACTTACTTTCATAAAATTAAAGTTCTGTTGCATGTAAAACAAAGTAAGCCCATTGTATATTATTATGCCGGAGAAAAATAAATATTTCTACTACTGCATACTATATTCAGTAAAAAGGTGATAAGTGTCTTTAATGCATTTTACATGTATGGTTTATTAATTTTTTTTATTCATAATAACTAGTAAAAACCTTTAAGTACACTTACTTTATTCTACCTGAAACGGGTTAAGTTAAAATTTAGAAATGATTACTAAGCTAAAACCATAAATGATCTTAACGATGGTGTTTATGATATAATTTATCTGCTAATAAATTAAGCTAATAATATAACATTATGCTAAAATTAAGCAGACTATTAAGTAAAATCGCTTGTATTCTATATTTGTGCCTAGGAAAAATGTTTTGAAATACTTTGTTAATAGGTATTAATTAGTTATTTGTTGTGCAAAGTCTTGTGGTCTTTAGATTCCTTTGAAACTAAAGACGGCAGTTTAATTTTTGATTATTCTCAGAACAAGATAGTCTCTGTAAGTGTCAGACAGACACTTACAAATATCTGGGACACGAAATCAAAATAAGCAAAGACAATCAAACACATGAAATACAGAGGCGATTAGGTCTAACATGGGCAGCATTTGGCAAATTAAGCCATATTCTAAAAAGTTCAATTCCCATGTGTCTCAAGCGAAAGGTTTATAACCAATGTGTATTACCTGTACAAACTTATGGAGCAGAGACATTAACACTCACGCAAAAATCTGCGAATAAACTTATAGTTACACAACGAGCCATGGAACGTGCAATGCTGAACGTGAGCCTTCGAGACCACATAACAAACCAACAAATTAGGCGAAGATCAGGAGTTCAAGACGTCATCGAAAGAACCACGACGCTTAAGTGGAACTGGGCAGGGCACTTAGCCAGAACACAAGATGGACGGTGGACAAGACGTATTATGGAATGGAGGCCCAAAAATTATAAAAGAAGCCGAGGACGACCACCGACTAGATGGACCGATGACATTAAACGTGTAGCGGGAAACTGGCTACAAGCGGCCCAGTGTAGAGAACACTGGAAAGAACTGAGGGAGGCCTATGTCCAGCAGTGGACGCGATTGGCTGATTGATGATGATGAAGATAGTCTCAATGATGGAATCCATTTTTATATTGAATTTTCAGATGTATAAAAGTTTGACATCTACGAATCCCGGAGTTTTTCGGGGACTTCAACTTCAATGAGAGTAGTTGAGACTATATGGCAAATGCATTTAACCGAAAATAATACAACCTTTTTGGGAACTTCAAAAAATATTCAAAACGAACTGCTGGAGTCAATGTTATATACCGCTCGTAGATTAATAAGCAAGGAGATAGAAATGGCTCCTAATGTGGCAATCGACGCTGATAAGACCTCGGACGCTTCCGTTCAAGATTAGTATTAGAGAGAAATCTGGACTCGAAAAAATAAAATTAATTGTTGGAGTAAATAAATTATAGCCGAGTAAATATTAACCGATTAGCAATAACAAAAATTAACTAATATTTGACAGTTACTTACCAGGTGAATTATTACTTGTTTGAATAGCACTTATACCTAAAAAATAAAACATGTTACTTAAATATAGTACACACACATATATATATATATATATATATATATATATATATATATATATATATATGTAAAAGAATAAATCTTTTAGCAAAAAGCTGCTATCGCTTTGTTGTATTGAATTGGCCAAATATATGGCCTAGGAGGACAAATTCGTTAAACTTTTCGTGTTCGAATCGGTAACAATAAAGTGTTATGACTTATTTCGGCCTATCCCAGCCTCATCAGACACTTGGGCTGATACAAATTTAAACTCGGAAAGTAGAACGAATGTCTCCTAACTTCACCACCGCAGTGGTTTGCGAGCAGAGGCGCCACCTGCTTTGGCGGCCGTGAACGAAAACGATATAATCACATCGTTTTCTACCTCTGGGCTATGCAAAACGTGTAAAAGAATTAAATTTATTATCTTTAATAACTAGAAAAAGGGTTGCGTTAATGCCCAAAATGTTTAAAGGATCTTTAAACGTAGGGTATTGGCACAGCGAACATTGGAATGCATCTACTGTAATTGTATAATGTGTATGTCGCTCAGCACTACTTCTAGCTAATCTGATACAATATTTCGTTAAACTGGCAACATCGCCATCGACATTAGAATGACATATGTGACAAGATCAACTTACACAACTTAAAAAACACTATTTTTGGTTATAAAAGTTATACTAGTTTTTTATGACGCGAACGGTATCCAAGAATTTAGAAAATGAAAATAAAAAAAATGTAGTAACAGCACTTGTACAAAATCCTAGAATCGAGCCATTGCAGGTCAATTTAATATTCATAATTCTACTACCTTAAAAATGTTGAAAATGAATAAATTCCGTTCATTTAAATTTCAATGTCATCAAGAACTAAGAAAAGAATATGCTGAGCGACAAGCGGAAGTTTGTTATGAAATTTTAGAGGGGACTAATGCAGACAGACAATTTTTAAAAAACATTTCGTTTAGTGATGAATATACATTTGTATTAAATAATGAACCAAATGTTCAAAATTATAGGATTTGGTCAACAAAAAGCTTGAGGATATTATTGAAAGCCATATCCAATATCGTCAAAAAATAAATGCCTGGTTAGGAATATTTAGACACAACATTATTGGACCATTTTTCTATGAGGAGAACTTAAATTTAAAAAAGTTTTTAGACTTGCCAGAAAAAGAGATTTTACCCAGACTTGCAGAAATACCTCCAGATGAAGAAGAAATTTGGTTTCAAATGGATGGGTGCCTTGCGCACAATAACTGGGAGGTTAAGGAATTCCTTAAAAAGAGCTTTAATAATTGTTTAATTTGACCTAACTGTAATATTACGTGACCCCCGAGATCGGGAGATTTAGCTATAAACGATTATTTTATCTGGGGCATCTAAAATCAAAGATTTATTCTAACGTTACGCATTCTGGCTAATGTTAGACGAGAATTTTACAATCGAGTGGGATACTGCTTAATACAAAATGGCTTATTATTTGAACATTTAGTATAGTTTTGTGTTTAGAAATTATCATAAATTATTATTAGGAAGTATTACAGTAAAACTATATTGAAATTCTTTGAATTGTTGTATAACCTGGAATTGAATTGGAGTGTAAATAAAGATGTGGCAGTTTTGTGCATTTAACTTGTAAACATTCAAATAATGACGAATACGAATTTTTTAAAAAGAAAAAGATATGATACATGTAAAAATACTGGGTATAACAGTGATTGTAAATTTTATTTATTTCAAAGAGAAAAATGGATTATTGCTATCAATAAGAAAATAAGTAAATAACCTATAATACAAACATATTTCGATGGTGTAAAATAAAAAAAGTTATTATATTCCGAAACATTGCCTACATGCCCTGCGTCAACTAAATTTTTCCTCTTTTTTGGTGTAGCTGGTTGAAATGGGATATCATATGATATAGACTTAAAACCAGTATAATGTTTAATATCTATTTTGATAAAATTAATAAAAATTGATATCTAAGCACTAAGGACAAAGCATACAAAAAATAACTGAGCAAAAACAGAATGAAAATGCAAAATGAAAACAAGAATTACAATGTTACAGAGGTAAAGGCATCGAGCAAAAAGACAAAAGAGGGAATCTAATCGTTATGAAAAGGAGACCAAAAAAGTGGCCTCTGATGGCGGACATATCCAGAAATGCGAATGCGCCAAATTTAAATTTTCCGACACTTATTAACAGTAGCTATAAAATAGTTTTCAGAATGTGTCTTAGACGAGAAACTTTAAATAAATATTAACGATGACAGTCTAAAATGTGATACAATTGTTAAAAAACTTAATATAAATAAGCTTTCATGTGACAGTTGGGACAAACAATAACATAACCCTACTAAATTTGATTTATTATACAAGGAAAGACTCTCTTCTTTTTGTCAATGACCTTTTGCGTAAGTAGTCATCCAGTTGCAGGAACTTATATCTTAAATAATATAATTAAAATGAGTAAAATAAAAAGACGTAATTATTTTTAATATTAATTCTGTTTGAGTTCATAATTTTGTATTTTTAGATAAATATCTATTTTTCTCGTTTTGTCATATTTAACTTACACCGATTTTACAAGAAAAGTACAAGTTTCAAACCGCGAGAGAGCGCTACCGGCGAAACTCACAGCGAATTGACTGAATACAACATTATTGCGATTTTTCGTGAACTGAATACATTTAATTAATTTAATTGCTTTGTAGACAACATAATTTATTCTTTACGATCTATTGTTCACTAGTAGTAGTAGTATTTGTGAAAATTTGCGTATTTTAGTATTTGTTTATAATTTAATATCAAAATAAAAATATTGACAATTCAAATATTGTCAAATATTAGAATCATCAATATGACCAACGTAACATTCCAAGCCAAGGAAAAAAAAAAGACCAACGCAACATGTCATACAAATTCTTGTTCCTCGGGTGGCCTGACTTTAAGGGGTGGCCTGAAGATTATAATTTTACAAAATTTTAAAATACATTTAAGTCGTAGAACAATTTTAATATTTGTTTTTAATACATATTTCAGTCCTCTACAAATAGTTTCTTATGACTTTTGATGTAAAATAATTAGGGAAGCCAGAATTCAACAATTTAGAATTTCCCATTGAATTTCGTATGGCTCGTTAGGCAATTCACCACCCGATATAAAATCTTACAGCAAGCTGTAATGAAATAAGTTTGTCTCAGATATCGTTTGGCGCTTCTGTTAGTTTAGTAATTTTTTTTTTTTTTTTGAATAGAACATATTTTTTTAGAATATCTTTTTAAAATATATACTTACTATACAAGGATACCACATATGATCTATCTTCATCTACTTTTGTGGGTGGAAGACTCCTTGGTGGAAGAGGATCTAGAAATACACAGTTTTAAATATAGTTACGCACAAGACATAAAACAATTACAATTTGTCATAGTAAAATAGGTTAGATTATAATTGCTTATTGGTCTTGTAAAACCAGCTTCAGTTAACTTAGAATATTTAAAGTACAGGCAAGTAGAACATAAGCATCAACTTGAATCCAGAAAAACTAAGTGTATCTGTATTACTTATGCCCCTCTCTCTACCTTGTCGTTTACCCATTACCGGAGATACCCATTACTTCCTCCAATACTCATAAAAAATGTTGGCCATTGGTCGCTATCTTTGGCTGCTTTATGGGTTTCGATGAATTCTGAATTTGATCGGATGATCTGGTTGGTGACCATTCTCTTGGTCTTCAGGAATTTTTCCACCAGCCACCGTTACGCCTTCAAACAATCTGCTTAAGCTATCGTTATGACATGCTCAACGCAAATATTGAATAATATTGTTCAAAAGCTATTTTCTTGTGGCATCTGATTGCAATTACTAATTTTATTGGAGATAAGTCATCATTTAAATTTAAAACAAGTTTATTTTTGACGTTTCTATTTCCACTGCAAATCATTCTCGAAATACAAAACAATAACAAATTTTTCATGGTTAATTTTATTGCATCTTTTTCGTTCTTTATATCATTCAAAAATGTATCCAGAAACTCTGATCTATTAAGCCATATTAGGAATACATCATCTACATATCTCCACCATACTGTGGGTTTTAAATTTTGTTTAAAAATACTATTGGTTTCAAAATCTTTCATAATTATATGCTAATAACGGAGATAAACTATAGGCCATAACTAGTTTCTCATTAGCATTAGGCAGTAGCCATTTAGCTGGCATCATTCTCTAATTTTATTTTGATTATTTACATAAGTCTTATCCAATGTTACATTTGTACATAAACTATTTATATCAAAACTTCCATGATTCATTTCGATAATTTATTTAAAAAATGTGTATTTTTTATAAATGTGTCATTTTTATTTGCAAATTTTAGTATAATATTTAACCCATTCATGCCCAGCATTGCGTTTTCGCAACAGTCGACATAGCCTATTATGGCGTCATATTTTGGAAAATAACATGACTTATTCGGGCAGTCAAGGTTCAGATTTATTTTACAAGAGTTTCCTATGTATGTTTTAGTGGGAATTGGTCGCAAAATTTAGGTTTCTGTTGACAGATGGCGTATTGAAAGTGGTAGGTGAATCCCAAACAACTGGAAGGAATCAGTAACCATTATCCTACACAAGAAAGGGGATAAAGCAGATATAAAAAACTACCGTCCTATAACACTCCTCAATGTAATGTATAAACTCCTAACACAAATTTTAACCAATAGATTGACGACAAAATTCGATGGATACCAGTCGAAAGAACAAGCTGGTTTTAGAAAGGGATTCAGCACAAGTGACCATTTACTAAGTATGAAAATACTTACAGAACGAGCAAATGAATACCACATTCCTCTATATATGGCGTTCATAGATTTCGAAAAGGCTTTCGACAGTGTCGAACATTGGGCAGTGAAAAGTTCTTTGATTAACAGCCGAATTGACCACAGATATACGGAACTAATAACCAATATATATAAGGAAGCCAAAACAACAATTAAAGTATATGAAGGAACAAAATCATTACAAATAAGTAGAGGCGTGAGACAAGGTGATACAATATCACCGAAACTTTTCAATCAGGCTCTTGAAGATACTTTTAAAAGATTAGAATGGGAAAAAAAAGGTATAAAAACTTGTGGACAACGCTTGAACCATCTAAGGTACGCTGATGACATCGTATTGATAACCGATAAAAAAGAAGAATTATTTAAAATGATGAAAGAACTGGACGTAGAAGCTGGAAAGATAGGCCTTAATATGAATTACAGCAAGACCAAAACTATAACAAATACAGATGAAGACATCACAATGAGAATCGGACAAGATGAAAAGAAAGATGAAAAGAACAAGTTAAGGATTATATATATATATATATATATATATATATATATATATATATATATATATCTTGGTCAAACTATAAAACTTAACAAAGAGAACCAAACAGCAGAGATCAAGAGACGAGTTAGACTGGCATGGGCGGCATTTGGCAAACTAAGCTGCATTCTTAAAACAAAAGATATCCACAGCATCTTAAGACCAAAGTATATAATCAGTGTGTACTCCCTGTTCTTACTTATGGTTCCCAAACGTGAACATCTACAAAAGCAAACATGGACAAAATCATAAAAACTTAAAGAGCAATGGAAAGACAAATGTTGCACATAAGTCTAATGGATAAGAAGAGAAACGAGTGGATAAGAAAGAAAACAAAAGTGAGGGATGTTAGACAAGAAGTTGCAAAATTGAAATGGAGATTTGCCGGACACAATATAAGACAAAAAGAAGACCGATGGAACAAAATTCTTATAAATTGGAGACCGTGGGAATATAAACGAAGCAGAGGAAGGCCCCAACTGAGATGGGCAGATGATATCAAGAAGCACGTGGGCTCTAGATGGATGACTGTAGCGACAGACAGAGAAGAATGGAAAAGGATTGGGGAGGCCTATGTCCAAAGATGGACCGAAGAAGGCTAATTAGATAGATAGAGGTTCATTTTGACTTCTGTAAACATGTGCTTGTAGTTAGTAGTAAGTCGTTTGTGTATAAATTAATTGGATAACTATTTGATTTTTAATAGCAACATATTATTAAATCATTGAAGAGGATATATCTATCAAGTAAGTGCTATTATTTTATCTGTGCTAGTTGGTAAAACTGCCCAATTATCAGTGTTGAGTTTTGGCAACATTGGGCACAAGGCATATTATTAGTACAAAAAATAATTGTTGTTCTAGAAGGTGGAAATAAGTTGTCAAATCAACTTGGCTCGACCAGTTTCGGTCGTAATAGTAATGATAGTCGTCCTAAAAAAATTTTTACAAATCAAGAACACATAAAATTATGTCCATACTGGAAGAATTGAATTATATGGAGTCAGCTTCCAGTGCAAATATTTTCCTAGCACCTCCTGATCCTACTGAATTGACTGATGAAGATAGTGGAGATAAAAACAGTGAAAGAAAATTCAATAACCTAAACAAAATATGTTCGATGCAGAATCAGAAGCTGTAATTCATCAAGGAAAAGAAAGAAGGGTCGACGAAGAAAAATTAAATTTCCTGCATCTGTCATGATCACACAGCATGTCGTCTAAAGGTGTGGAAAAGTTACATTTTATCGATGGGATTGTAAAAACGGACAAATATTTGAATATTTTAGAAGAATCTCTTTTATCGATTCTGGAACATCTTTAATATCAACGGAATATTTTGTCTTCCAACAGGACCGTGCAGGTCATCATACCTCAAAAAGGGGTAAAAATTGATTGCAGACCATGGCATAGCACTTCTGGAATTAGTTTCTAACAATTCCGACTTGTCCCCGATAGACTTTCTGGCGCGAAATAAAAAAAGCTTTGAGAAAACATCCTGCCAGGTCTGTCAACCAATTTAACCCATTAGCGCCCACCGTTATTATATGGTAACGTAAAACACATGATTTTTAAAAATTCTGCGGTACGCCCATGGAACTAGTCAGCGAGATATTTTGAAAACTATCGTTTCTAGGAATACTTAAGGCACCCAAAAAACGTAACGGATTCGTATTTTAGTCTTCTCTCAACCATCGAGAGATCATATCTTCTCTCAATCATATGACTGTGTGGTTTGAGTTTATAGAAAAAGATGGACGTTCTTTTTGCATAAGTAATTTTTGACAGTCTTCTAGTAACTATATTTGCATATTTAAAAAAAGAACTAAGTTTATTATACTCCAACTTATTATAAATTGTTGTATTTTATCAACAATTAAATGTAGCGAATTTGCTAGGAATAGTCAAAGTACGCCGTTACCATATGGTTGCGGTGAGCGCTTACGGAGTCATAATTTAGATAATATTTTTATAACACTGCCAGATGTAAATGTAGCTGATACAGACGAGGATTCTGCGAATGAAGATGAAGGTGGATTCATAAATAACCTAACAGGTGCTTAGTTGTACAAATAATGATATACGTACATATTATAATTGTTTATTTTTACAGGTAGGCAGCTAGCCTACTAGCTATCCCATCTAGCTGTCGCTTTGAAAAAAAGAAGGAGTTTTCTAAAAGAAATCGTGGCTATTCACTACATACAATAGAAAAAACAGCGGTATTTTACTGGTGCGATGAAAAGATAACTCTGTTGTCACAATGGCATCTACGAGTTGTGGTGGTTCAGCATTGGGCACGGTAAAAAGATTTTCTCATGAAGAAAAACGCCATATTCAAGTAAGTCGGCCTCACTGTATTGCTGAATACAATAAAAATATGGGGGGTACCGACTTGATGGATCAAGGTGTTTTAACCTACCGAGTAGCAATTCGCAGTAAAAAATCTTCTTCTTCTACGGCACTACAGCCCAAAATGAGCCTTGGCCTCCTTTATTTTTTGCCTCCACCCTTGTCTGTCTGTGGCTGCTCTTCTCCATACACGGACTCCTATTGTAGTAAAAAATGGTACTGGCCAATTGTAACATAGTTGTTGGATGTTGCAGTCCATAATTCATGGCATTTATATAAAAAAAAATAAAAAAGATATATCCTTGCTATCGTTTAGGAGAGAATTGGCCCAAGTTCTTCTCGCAAGATATGGAAGTCCTCCCTTATATAGCGGAAGACCTAGTCTACATAGACAGAACTTGCCAGATCTTCGTTTTGATCGCATCGATCATTTCGTTACACTAAGTAGTAGAAGGCGATGTGCTGGTGAAGGATGTACAACATCTGGACGAACAATGTGCCAAAAATGCGACGTTGGTTTGTGTGTTAATTGTTTTATAGGATACCACACCAGACGATAAAAATATTCTCAAATAAATATTTAAAAAAAAATAAAAATTGTTATTTCAACGATCCTAAAAATTCCTTAAGCGCCCAGCGTTACCATATGGTAACACCATGTAATTTTTTTAAAAAAAGACATGAAACCGAAAAACTTATTTTTTTGGATTAAATTATTAACATTTTCATCTAATTAACCCTAAAAGTAAAGATTTAAAAAAAAAACTTGGGCGCTAATCGGTTAAGGAAAAATTGTAAGAAATATGGGATTTGTTTACATTCGAATTTTGTACGAACTTGGTAAAAACTATGGCTTGAAGAATCGTGGATGTTATTAAAAATAAAGGGGATTCTCAGTGGTAAACTTTTACATTTTTTTGTTTTGTTAATATTACATACTCTATGCGTTTTTTTTATTTATTATTATTCTGTTTAATTAATAGTTTTCATTACGTTATAAAATATTTTATATAATTAGGAAATTCAAAAATGTTGGATGCATTAAAACTTCTAAAATTTATACCGCCCTTTTATTTTTATTCTCTAAAATTTAATTATCTTATCAGTCTAACGTTGAACCATTTGATATGGGAAGTGGCTCTTATAACATAAAGTATATTACTTAGCTTTTTATGTTAGTATGTAGTAACGTTGGTATGGGTTTTTCACTGTTCTCGCCTATAATTCCAGCGGTATAACGACGTTAAATAAATATTATAAAAAAATATACTTACCAAATTGCTGACTGTAATACACTGGTCTTACATTCGGACTCCCATGAGCTAGAAATACATCGTTACTAATATAATTATACAGAGCTGTAGAGAAAAATCCCAACTAATAGTAATAAAATAGCTGATTTACTTCTCATTATAAAATATAAAACAATGTTACATTATAGTTCAATATAACAAAAGTAATATGTAATTTAAACTCAAATATTTTGTACATTTCGGTTGGCGCGTTGAAATGTGAATTCCCATGGAGTATCGAGTTTTTAGTTTAGTTTTGCGCGTCAGCTTTTGAGCTCCTTTGAACCGTGTAGATCAGGGGTGCTCAAACGGTCGATCGCGAGTGCTTTTTGGGTAGATCTCCAGAAGAAAAAAAATTTTAATAAGTAAGTAGGTAACTAAACTACTGTCAGCAGAGTTAAACGTTTTTATTAATACTGAACTATACAAATACATAGAATGCTTGACTAAGCATCATTGCAATTCAAAGAAGTGGGGACAACAAAATACTGTCCACACAGCATATTTCATATTTACATATATTAATTAATTATTTTATTAATTCAATATTGTTATAATTATTAATCAAATTTGGGATGATATTCTATCAACTACAAAAATGTATTACGTAATAAAATAACACTGCTTGCGGTAAAAGGTGACTTTATCAAAGGAACGCGCGACACTTGTCAAAGAAAAGCCGTGTTGTTTCTAGACGAGAGACAGTGCAGTCTAGTTTCGGGCGGCGCGTTTGACGGTCCATTCGAGACTTTCGTTCACGCCGATATAAATGTTGCGCCTGCGGGAATTGGAGTTATTCTGAATTGTAACTTGATAGCGATCCTACGTCGATACAAAGTTTATTATTAAATAGTGGAAAATTAGTGCAGTGAAGAAATCTAAAACGTGTCATTTTAATAAGGATTGGGAGGAAGAATTTTTCTGTTCTATGGTGAAGGATAAGTGCATTTGTGTTATTTGTCGTGCGTCAGTTGCAATACCTAAGCGTGGTAACTTAGAGAGGCATCATAAAACGGTTCATAAAAACTATGAAAAGGATTTTCTGCCACAGAGTGAATTAAGAAAACGAAAAGTAAGTGATTTGATATCTTGTTTGAAAAAAGAACAATCCATGCTCACAAGACCAGCCAAACAATCAAAAGCTGCTACGATCGCGTCATTTAAAATATCTCATATTTTGTCGAAATACAAGAAACCATTTGAAGATGGATCGGTGGTGAAGGAAGCATTTATTGAAGCGGGTGAGACTTAATTGGAAAATTTAAAAATAAAACAGAAATCATGTCTGCTATTAGAGAACTTCAGTTATCTCGTCCGACTGTCACAAGGCGTATTGAAGTCATGAGTCAAGACATCGCAGATAAACTAAAACATTATATCATGGAATGTACATACTTTTCTTTACAGTTCGACGAATCCATCGATTCGTCGCTGCCCAGCTGTGTATTTTTATTCGGATGGTATTCAATGACATGTTAGCTAAGGAAGAATTTTTGACAATCATTCCTCTGAAGGGGAAGACCCGTGGCGAAGATATATATGACGTTTTCTTAAATTTTGTAAAAAACTACGAGCTACCAATATATAAATTAATGTGCATTACAACCGATGGAACACCAGCAATGACTGGAAACAAAAACGATTTTGTGGCATTGTGTCGAGCTAATGAAGAATTCCCTTTTTTTTTTCATTCCATTGCATTATACATCAACAAGTTTTGTGTTCAAAAGTTTTAAACACGGAGGAAATTATGGGCATTGCAACAAAAATTGTGAATTCCATCCATGCACGTAGCTTGCAACGGCGGCTCTTTCAGTTGCAGTTGGAAGATAGGGAGTCAGCTGAACACACTGATTTAGTTCTTCACACGGACGTCAGGTGGTTGAGTCTCGGAAAATTCCTAGAAAGGTTTCAAGAATTATTTCCCGAAATAACAGCTTTTCTAGACGAAAGAGGTGATGACACTCAGATTTTGAAAAACGAAAAATGGCTAAATGATTTGGCATTTTTGACTGATCACAATGCACTTTAAACACCGTTAACTTGGAGCTTCAAGGTAAAGGAAAAACTATTATTGGGATGATTAGCGCATAAACGCATTTAAAAGTAAATTGCAACTTATGATAGATCAACTGAAAAGAAAGGATCTGAAACATTTTCCGTCTTTGAAAGCAAGGATTCCTCAGTTGAATTATGAAACGTATGAGGCTGAATTATCAAATATTTTGGGACAATTCGAAATGCGTTTTTATGATTGCAGTAAATTGGAAAATATAGCATCATTTATGAGTTATCCTTTTTCATGTAAAAACATTGAGGAATTAGCTACTGAAATAGCAAGTCAGTTTAATATGAACTCATGTTCTGTTGAAAATGAGTTGGTGCAGATTATATCAGATATACATCTCAAAGCTACAGTATCTGATACAAATTTCTGGTGTTTTATATCTGAAGATAAATTTCCGAATGTAAGGCAACTCGCCCTTCAACTGACGGCATTTTTTGGGTCAACTTACTTGTGCGAGTCTGCATTTTCTGAAATGAAGATAACTAAGTCAAAATATCGCAATCGACTAACTGACGATCATATGACATCATGCTTGCGATTAGCACTCAGTGGTTACGTACCATCTTATGAAAAGTATGCTGAGGACATGCAGTGCCACGCTTCAACATCCAAAGCCACTCCTTAGTTAAGTTTAAGACCATATGTAACTCTTTTGTTTTGTAACAACAAATATACTCGCAATTTTGAATAACTATGAGTTTTTTCATTGATATTGTAGAGAAGAACCTAACTAAACCTAACCCAAACCTTGACTAAAATAATGTACCTATATTGTGCAGAAAGCTAATATCTATATATGCTACGGTACGCCCTACCTAGGTAGGTAGGGTGTATCGTGTATGTACGACAACCCTGCATCACACACACTTGCAGTCTCTCAGAGTCGATCGTAAATAGTCTAAAAATATTGAGTTAGATCACCAGCAGTTCAAGTTTGAGCACCCCTGGTGTAGATTTACCAACAAATGACGGGACTCGCAACACCGAACGAAGATCGCCAATTCTGCCCTATTTAACAGCGCCACGTGAACCGTTAGGCCAGCACTCCACTTGCGATTTGTAGTCGCGCGATTGTTTTGTATCGAAGATTGAACAAATTGTTTCAAATACAGGTCAATCCATTAGCGACAAAATAAACACAGCGATTAATAAAACGCAACCTGTCCTATTTTTATCGTGACGCGATTGTCGCTCTAGAAAATGAATCATACGGACAAACATAGATATGCATCCACTTGCGATTGTTTAGTAGCGATTCTAAAACCAACCAAGCCTGGTGGCCTGGTGTATCATAAACAATATTTTTATTCTAATTTAGTTTTAATTTTATTTTGGTAAAGCGTTCACGTTCATTAAACTTCATTTTATTTTTAGAGTAAGTGTGTGCTTATCTTACCCAATGACTTATAATACATATATATTTCACCAGAGAGTAGTTATAATTTCTTACCTGTTAACAACGTCATACTTGGTCCAGGGGAAACTTTAAAATTTGGTTCTGTAAATAACACAAACAGTTATTGAGTAACTCGAAGAACTTCTATTAAAGTTTGTATATCACAACAACAAATCCACGACCTAACAGCATATAAGATCGATTTATGTTAACAATATCGGATCAGAAGAGCTACCAGAATAAGCAAATTGCTTATGCAATTTTTTCATTTGTCATGTTTCAAATGATACTTAAAATATAACCGTACTCCTCTTGAGGACGGAATTACTGAAGAAATGTAAGATGTAATACAAGTTCTGTACTATCCGTGAAGAAGTGGACAAGTAAAATTTCCGTTAAAACAAAATATCTTAATCTTGAAATAGTTCTCTTTCAATTTCGTCAGGTGAATAAAATTAGTTAATTTAAATTTGAAAGAGCTTAGAGCTTACTTGGTACAAGCCCGTGAATATTTGGATTTGACAATTTATTTGGTATCAGAACCGGTACATCGACTTGTATAATATTAAAGAGTTTTAAATATTTGTTTGAAATAATGTATCTTAACTTGATCATCTGGGTACTAGCCCAGCCTGGTTATCAAAAAGGTCGAAACATTTTTCGCAGATATCTGAAGCTTTTAAGGCAAAGGTGGGACAATAGATGACGAATAGATGAAAAAGTTCTCGTATTTTTACCTTGAGTTTTTTTTAAACAATAATTTATGGTCAAGATTTGATTTTTTGTCTATAAGTTTTTTCCCTTATATTTCTATAAAGAGCGGTACAATGATCACGTCACAAAATTACTGTATTGCTTATAACATACAGAACACACCGCAATATTTTTTTCTAGCGATTGGTATAAAAGATATAAGTCAATGCCATGATATAATGAACTACAGAGGTAACATATTGCGCACGGTCGCTCGACCTTCGGCCAGGGAGTGACGTCAGTTGCAGCGTAGAAGCATTAGTCAGAAACTAGCAACCGAAGAGTGCAGTTATCAGTTTCGGAGTTTTCTCACAAATATATTTTTAATTTTTACGATATGCGTTACGCGGTATTTGACTGTTCCTCTGATAACCAGAGCAAGCAAAATCCTTGCCCTGACACGAGGTTTTTTTGTTTCTCTAAAGAGGAAAATCTAATTAAACAGAGGGTGCACGCCACCGGTAGGACAGATAAATTTAACCCGAAGACGGCTTATATTTGTTCAAAGCATTTTACAGAGACTGACTTTTATGTAAATCTTAAACATCAACTGCTGAATTATCGGCCGGAAAATTATCGGGGTTTGAAAAACGATGTTGTTCCCAACAAGAATTTGCCTATGATGAAACCTGAGGTTACCACAAGCCACTGCCATTACTTCCATTCCAAAAAGGTAACACAGTATATCAAAGTAAAAACACATTTATAACATTTTACAAAACATTGCAGGTATTCTTATATCAAATAAGGATCTGCAGTTGCTGCTTGAAGATGTAGGCAAACGATATAATATGAACTACCTTTTGACGAGGCGCTTAAACCAAGATCCCTTGGAGAATTTTTTTGGAGTCATAAGAGCAAAAGGTGGTTTGAACGATCATCCAACTTACTTAGATTTTAAATACCGACTGCGTTCTTATTTAATGGGAAAAAATGAAGGTGCTTTTTCAGATTACTGTAATGTAGAAGACGATGATACTCCTACATTATGTATGTGGTAGAAAAGCTTGCTTCAAAAAAAAAACAATCATTGACACCAATCCGACGGATGGAGATGACATAGTCCTCTGTGAAGAACTCGATGATTTAATATATGATGGACTAGAACATTTATGAGGATTTATTTGTAGCAAGCTTAAAAGCAAGTTACCAAATTTAACTAACCCGACTTACAAGTCTTACACCTGGACCAATCATTTGACAGAAGGTGGAATATGTAAACCTTCTAACGAATTTATGGCTCATTTGGAAAAACAAATTTTTCAAAACTTTAATGGAGATACCATATTTACTGGCAAACAATATATTTCAAGTCTGTTATTTGCAAGTGTTAAGATTGATTGTCCTCAAGATGCTAAGAAAATATTTTTTCGATCGCGTATGTACTTCTGTATAAAAGATTTTAATAAAAAAATTATTTTAGCACGCACTAATAAAAGAAAAATAGAAAAAACTATTACATAATGTATATAGTTTCATATTTTTAAACGCAAATTGTTTTAAAACTGCTTTATAGCAAGAATATTAACGCGATCGTAATATTTATTTTGAAATATTTGATATATATATTTATATTTGAAAATTCTGTAAGTGACGGTTGATTTAAGTATTTAAACTTAACTATATATTTACCAATTATGTATAATATAAAAATTTTGTTCCTTCTTAAAAGTTTATAAAAAGTGGAAGTATGTAGGAACCTAAATAAGATCTTTTTGTACTAATACCTTATTTGTTCTAATTCGCATAAAAATTAAATATATTTGACTAAGAAAACATGATAAACATTCGTTTTTATTTAAAATGTATGAAGACAGTAAAATAATATGCAAAATATCCATATTTAGAATGACTAAATTACCAGTGCTTATGGATACAATTAAGAGCAATGTGAATACTAAAGCTGCAAGTGACGTAACTGCGCAAGGTCAACGCGAATTTGCACTTCGGAATAGGTGGCTCTGAGTCAATGCGCTCTCATAAGAATTTAGTAGCAATGGTTAAAAGGTACTAACTGGGAAATCATTGAAAAGAGGGCGGTAAAAAAGTATTAAGTCTGACTTATGACTTTGGACCGTTCGATTTATGAACGGTTTATAGTCAGAATCCAGAAATCTAGGCAGTAAATTCTTGAAAGTAATAGTGATGGTTCATTGCTATTGTATGTCTTCCAATGGTGTACGAAAAATATCATAAGAAGTTACGGCAAAGCTACTTGTATTAAATAAATAGGTACCTGTTTATAAATTATAAGATGTATAATCTTTTATAACTATATGTAATTTAAAGGGTTTTTACCCATGTATTTTGGTGGCTCAGGCATTTTATCCTAGCGATTTTAAACCTAATGATGGACTGTTTAGTCCGAAAACGTTTGTTTTTTTTATGTAGCCCTTTTAAGGGTTTTTAAATAAATATACCCACTTACGAAGACTAACCTTTTTTTTTTGATATACTGAAAATATTTCTGAAAATTATACACTCTAGAGTACGCAGAAAACTGGAAATGGACATCAATAATACCCAGTTTGGATTCCGAAATGGACTCGGAACAAGAGAGGCGTTGTTTACACTGAAAGTTATGTCTCAAAGATGTCTTGATATAAATTAAAATGTATTCATGTGTTTCATAGATTACAACAAGGCTTTTGATAAAGTGCTGCATGATCACCTAATCAGACTCCTGGCAGAAAAGAATTTAGATAAACGAGACATCCGACTAATAGCAAATATGTACTACAATCAGAAAGCAGTAGTGAGAGTAGAGAATAATACCACTGAAGAAATTGAAATAAAGCGAGGTGTGAGACAAGGGTGTATACTGTCATCAACCCTGTTTAATCTCTATTCCGAAGACGTAATGAATAGAACACTCTCTGAGCAATCCGTAGGTATTAAAATAAATGGTGTTAGATTAAACAATCTTAGATTTGCCGACTACACCGTTCTGATCGCAGAAACACTTCTGGACTTGCATGGACTATCTTTGAACATAGAGAAAAATAAATTTATGGTAATATCAAAATCAACACAAACTGTCCAAAATTTATATTTACACAATGAAATTATCGATCGAGTTAGCAAATACAAATATTAAGGCACTTTTATAAATGAAGACAACGATAGCTCAGCAGAAATCAAAATAAGAATAGAAAAAGCCAGATCCATATTCACTAAAATGAAGAGAGTGTTCTGCGGAAGAGATTTGAGCCTTGAAATGAAACTTCGCCTGATGAGATGTTACGTACTTTCTGTGTGCTGTATTACGGAATGGAGTCATGGACGTTGAAAAAGATTGATACCAAAAAATTAGAGGCATTTGAACTGTTGATGTATCGCAGAATCCTAAGAATATCATGGACCAAGAGAGTCACAAATGTCGAGGTCTTGAGAAGAATGAATAAAGAAAAGGAAGTCATATTTACGATCAAAAAACGAAAACTGCAATACCTGGAACACATTACAAGAGGCGAAAGATATGAACTGCTTCGAATAATTATGCAAGAGAAAATAGCAGGAAAAAGGTCCATAGAAAGAAGACGAAACTCCTGGCTAAAGAATCTACGGGAATGGTATAGCTGTAGCAACAACGAATTGTTTCGGTCAGCAGTTTCGAAAATACGTATAGCCCTGATGATTGCCAACCTTCGGAACGAAAATGGTACTTAAAGAAGAAGAAGAAAGAGAAAAAGAGAGATTTAATTTCAATTATTAATTTGATACCGCCTATTTTCCACAAATTTGACATTTGACAAAACAGATGAACTTTAGTGACGTGTGCGTGTGTGTTGTAGTTTTATAATGTAATTTAGTTTATCTAAAATATTAAAATTTATTTTAATTAAATTAAAATTTTATGAACTAATTTATAAGTTTTATTAATTTTTTTATTAACAAAACAAAATGTTATTAATACGGTCGATAAGACCACAACAAAGTGAGACCAGGCTATACAATTTCTCCTAAATTGTTTAAATTAGTTCTAGAGGATGTTTTTAAACTGCTTACCTGGGAGCAAAAGGTTTAAATGTTGATAGACAATATTTAAATCATCTCCGCTTTGCGGATGTAAAAGAAAAGGCGAATAATGAAAAAGAAACAAATTAAAATTGAATCGTCAATTGGAGTGGACAGTCAAGGCATATTGAAAGGTCAAAGATATTTACATAATAAATGAAATAATACTTACCTGAAGAATCCTCGACGTTAATAGCGCAGGTTTCATTAGGCTTGACAACTACCAAGGAACTTACATCAGTAACAAAAGAATATTTTAACGCCAGATCCAGAGCTTCTTTGGTTAGCTGTTTTTTATTTTGCACTAATTCTCGTTGTTCCAGTTTGTGTTTTATAGTTAAGTAGGCCCACAGACGCTCCAATTCTCCGACTGCAGCTTCCCTTACTGGTGGTAATGAGATTTCACCGCGCTTGCTCTTACTCTTAACTTTCCACTTAGAGGTATCAAAAGCTAGAAATGTAGATATGATTTAAATTTTAATTTCATTCTTATTTTTTATTTATTAATTGTATTAAGCTTCCAAATTCATTGTCAATACGATATTAATATACAGCATACTGCAAATGTATGGAACAAATTCATTATTTCAGAAACAGACGACTTTTAAAAAAATCTTAAGACACGTCAATTTTAATTTTTGAATCGCCATCAACTGCTATATACGTGTTGGACATTACGTCATCAGTGTCGGCGTAATGACGTCGACCATGATACAAATAAACAGATAAGATACCGCGCATGTAGGCGTGGCATATGTGACGTCAGCTTGTGCTAAATTTCTCCATATTGTGTTTTGATATTTATGTACATTTACGGTTCACATCCAATATTTAGTAAAATAATATTTTAAGAGTGTTAAATGCTTGAAATTTTTCGCAATATGAGGGGTGCAGTGTATGGTTGTGCCGTTGACAATATGTGCAGGAGTTTTTTATCCGGTATAGCATTCTATAGCTTTCCAAACGACAAGGAAATGCAAGCAGTTTGGAAACATTTGTGTAAACGCCAGGATAGTTTTAATGTTAAATTTGCTCGTGTTTGCTTTAAGCACTTTATTGAAAGTGATTAGGAACCTAACTTAAAACATGAATTGCTGGGGTATACACCAACAAAACATCTCTCTTTTAAAAAAGACGCTGTTCCGTCAATAAATTTCTCTAAAACAAATAAACAGAACGAGAAGGCGAATTTTGATAGAACGAACCGGAAACATAAAAGACAACGAAAAACAAAAAGTGATATTTATTATATTGAAGTGGTAAATAATTATGCCTAAAGATTTCATTACTAAATATTTGTTTTTGTAAAGCGGAACTTTGTGACAATAGTGGAAATAGTTTTGATGATGGTGTGAAGGCTGGTGCTTCTTGTTTTATCCCCGAGAATGCTGTTTTGGAAAAATTACCTACTCGTCATAGTATTGGGTTAGTTTGTAGTTAAAAATACCTACCTAGCACAGATTATATACTATCTTAACTGGTCTGTGTTTTTTAATATCTAGAATATATGATCCTGTATACTTTAACTCGAATGACTTTTTTAAAGGGTTAATACTTAAGAAGATAATCGGGACAAAATAATACCTGGCCTTTAGATTAGATAATACTGGTACTTCAGATCTAAAAATTATGTATAAAATATCAAAGGAGTCTCTTTACATTCAAGGCACTGGAAGACAAAAAGTGAAATTAGCAACTCAGTTATTTTCCCACACCATCATTACCAAAATGACGGACACAGTGAAAAATCTCCGAATTAAAGAAAAGAAATGCTTGCTTACATTCCAAAAAGGTGAAATAAAAGTACATTAAGACTATTTAATAATTCTCATGACACCTATTCATTAAAACTTCTATTAGAAGATATAAAAACTAGATTTTCTATCAAATATATATTGACATCTAGGTTAAATCAGGATGTATCGGAAAACTTCTTTGGAGCTATAAGAGCCAAAGGAGGACTTAATGATCATCCAGATGCATTGTAATTTAAATACCGTCTACGATCCTATATTTTTGGAAGAAATGAAGGCTTTCTTTTCAGCTTTGGAAATATCGATGAAGATGAAACTCCTACTATACCTTTGGATAGCGCAAATTTATGTGGAAAATATTTTTCTTCAATTCAAAATAACACTATTAATGATTCAGAGGCACCTACTAAAATGTTTGATAGTAAGCTCAATATAGAACTCACATTCTAAACCGAATATGACGGTTTAGAAAATTTGGCAGTTTATATATGTCACAAGCTGAAGGATATAGATTCATCTATAACTTTATCTAGTTCAAATGAGTTTACCTGGATTTCTCATTTAATTGTCTAATTCGAAAAAACATCCTGGTACTAAAAAATCAAGTTTTTGTCTAATTAGAGTACACTAAAGAACTCTCATAGAATTATTTATTTTTTTTAATATTATTTAGAAAGAAATAAATCATCTTTATTTACAGAATTAAAAATTTTCTCCAGTTTTTTCAAGATATTCCATCATTTGATGAGTATGTTATTAAAGACCAAATTCACTTAGAATAACAATTTGCATAATTTTACTTTGTCTAGAAAAACGGAAAATGGCAAAAATTGTACATTAAAGGTGTTTAAGAATTAAATCATTCTTTCATTTTACTCAGAATCTACCATTCCACAGTTTTTAATTTGTGACATTCAGCCTAGGCTCCCTTCATCAAATTTGACTCTCATGGGAAAAGTGTTATTTTGTACAATATACAAGTTTAAATACTTAAGTAAATTCACGTAGCAAATAAAACATCTACTTAATTATATTAGAATTTCAACCGTTCGTTTCATCCGCAAGCATGGATACATTTTGAAAATTTAGCACAAGGTGACGTCATGCGCGAGATGTACGAGTTTAGAGTGTGGCAAGATCATATCTTGTATCCTTATATCATGGTTATCGACGATTTTTTTAAATACAAACCAAGGTCACGCGATAGCTCATTTGAAAGATATTCTTATCGTCTTTGCAACGATGTATACAGTCCATTTTTATCTATATGGTGCTTGTTATATTTACCGGAAGAGTCAGGTTTCAGTTTTATTGTTATATTAGGCATAGTTGCCATCGTCTAAAGAAGTCGCAAAGCTGTAGGTCCTTTTTCAAATCCCGTTAGCACACTTATTTGTCTTGGTTTTAAAATATATCACTCGATATAATATCCTCAAGCAATATTTTTGTATTCCAAAGAGTAATCAAGAAGTTTTTGTTATCTAAATGTAACTACAGTATAGAGGAATTTTTTTAGGACAGTTGCGTTCATTGATATATTTTTTTTTTTAATTATAGAAATTTTATAATTAGTATTTTAATGTATCTTGTGCCTTGTTTGTACTATACGATGTTGTGTTTTATAAATGTAAACTCATTTAAAAACAATAAATTTATCTCTCTCTCTTTCTCTCATTGGTTTAGACTAGAAAGAGGAGGAGGAGTTGTATGTGTGATAAGATTTTGAAAGCAAATGGACAGATAGTTTGTTTCTGTTTCTGAAAAAGAATAACGTCTAAAAAAAGAAACTTAATGCCGGTAAATTTAAATGGTCTTTAATTCATTATATAATTTATTATTTTTATTTTATTTAAATAATTATGAAATGTGTATATCAGATATGCGCATCTTGTCGTGAGCAGCAAAAAAACCCGTTTGGTAAAAAATTTACATAAATTATTAGATACTTTTACCTACCCATGTTGAATTACGTACCTTCATCAATTGGATATTTCCCAGCAACTACGAGTTCTGATCCTTTAAAATAAACAGGGAACTTCTTTTTGGATACTTCCGTAACATCATCAGTATATTCAAATTCGATGTCTGATAAAAGTGGTGATGAGATATCCTTGTAGAAATTTTGCAGTTGAATAGTAGCATCAGATCCTTCGTAAATGTGCCTGGAAAATCCTAGGTTTTTCAGAGATAATTTTCTTAAGAATTTTTTATCTGCCCCGTCTCCAAAAGACAAAGAGAAAATAGGTATATAATCCTTATCCTCGTTAATGTTTGTTACCTGAAATGGTTTAGCATATTTCATGTGCATCACGTTATTGTAGTAGTTAAATAAAATAAATTGGTTTCATAATAAGACTTAAATGAAAAATCCTTATGAGAAGAAAAACGAAGAAAAATAATTATTTTTTTAATGCATATCAAGGCCGTCGTCTAGCGACAAGAGGAATCTCCAAGCTGAGGGATGATGCTCAATAGATCGCAGCGTGTAAACTACTCTAACCAGATAAAGCACCCTGTCGGGCAAGTGCATCGGCGTCATCGACAGACAATTCTTGAAATCCAAAATCAAAAATATCTCAATACCTATATTCGTTCATCTAACGATCTCATCTACTGTCAAGGATCAATCCCACCGTATACCGACAATCACATTGTCACATTGTCTTAAGTCTTTTGACTCACGAAATTCCAAGAGATATCGTTGTCACGATATCTGCTCGTAATTGTCGAGCAACCTGTTCGTAATTGTCGAGCAGGTTGTTGCTTTTTGCTTATCAGCATCCACTTTGTCTTCTTGAAGTTGAGGCTCAGGCCGTATTCCTCACTAACTGAATAAAGTCTTTCCATTACTTGTTGTAATTCGTCTATGGTACTGGCAAGGATCACCGTGTCGTCGGCGTATCTTATATTGTTCGTTAACTCGCCGTTTATTTTAATGCCCTCATTTGCATTTTCCATACATCTGTTAAATATTTCCTCGGAATACATATTGAATAGGAGTGGGGATAATATACACCCCTGACGGACACCCCTTTTGATCTGCACGCTTTCAGTGAGTTTTGAAACGTTTTCGGATTGATAAATCCATCATCAGTGCAAACGGTTGTACATGCTAGTAGCCACCAAAATATATGGGTCAAAACCCTTTAAATGTTTTAAATTTATAGTTGTTTTACATTATTAATAGTTATAATTTGTGATGTTTAAGTTACCGTTGGATAGGTAACATGGCGGCGTATGACTTTACATGAGTAAAATGGTCCTGAGACGAAGTGTCTACGAGGACCTGTTGATAACAAGTTGATAACAACATAGTTGTTATCAACAGGTCCTCGTAGACACTTCGTCTCAGGACCATTTTACCTATGTAGAGTCATACGCCGCCATGCTACCTATCCAACGGTAACTTAAACATCACAAATTATAACTATTAATATCTAATGTAAAACAACTATAAATTTAAAACATTTAAAGGGTTTTGACCCATATATTTTGGTGGCTACTAGCATGTACAACCGTTTGCACTGATGATGGATTTATCAATCCGAAAACGTTTTGCAATGTGTTTGTGATAGCCCGTTTGGGGCATTTTTTATATACCTTTTATAAAGGATTTTAAACAATTTTTTGTGATATATGGTATACAGCCAGCTACAGGAACTTAGTTTCCTCATGGAATTTTATTAGAAACTATTCAAACTTTACGTTTCTATATTTGTGTCTCCGATTTTACCTATATTTTAAAGTTTACCCGCACGTACAGGCTATCTTTTTCCTTATGAGAGCATTCTCACTTCATTGTTCGCACAGGCAGTTAGAATTTCAGACTTTTAGCTATTTTTGCTGAACTGTAAAACTCTTAACCTAGTGTAACTGTGTGTATAAAAATGACTCCTTTTTTTATTTGTGATCATTTTTGCGCTAATTTATTTTTTTCTGTTACAACCCATTTTATGTTGTACATTGTCACACCGTTTTTTATTTATTTTGAAATGATTACTTACAATATTTATAATTTCTTCCCTGTTGGAAATACCCATGTTCGGCTCCCCGTCTGTCAAAAAGATAATTAGTGGCTGTCGCCTTGATGCCTTCTTTAGTTCTTGGTTTACTAAATATAAACCGGTTTCAATACTGGCTAACATTTTAGTTAATCCAGTGTCTTGAAGCTTTTCTATTACTGCTTTTCCTTTGGCAATTGCTGCTCTGGTAGCAGACACTGCGTATGGCAAATTTAGGATCTAAAATTCAAGCAATAATTAGTCAAAACTAATTGGGTCAAGGTTAAAATAACTTTAAGAGCCAAAGTCTCAAATATTGGCGCCAGACCAAAAATTAAACAGTCTGTCGAGAACATAGCACACACAAAGTGCTACTAAGCTGGAAAAATAACGAGAATAAATGACTATAAGTGGACTAAATGCATAATGAAGAGGTGAACTTAATGTTTGACATTAGAGATAGAAAGACAGCAGATATGAATTATATGAACTATATATAACTTGAACAAGTGAAATATATGTTCATCTAAGGTTTTTAAAAAAATTAGGATATCATCTATATAATTGACTGTAAAGTGTGATGAGAGTTTATATTTTCTTATAATGCTGCTTAAAATCCGTTGAAAAATTGCTGGAGCCGTCTTTAAACCAAATGGGAGGCAAGTCCACTAGAAATAGTCTTCTTGTGTCACAAATGCTGTTTTTTCTTTATATTGTACTCTCATTGGAATTGACCAAAATGCTGAATTTATGTCTAAAGAAGTTAAAAGTATTTACAATTTTTAGTTTTTACTACTAAGTCCTCGATCAATGGAAAAGGTTGCGATTGAGGAATAACAATTTTATTTAGTTTCCTGAAATCTATGCACAGTCTTATTTTTCTGTTCTCTCCTTTTTTGTATGCTAGTGTCACTGGAGCCGCAAATAGACTATATGATTCTTCAATTATTTTTTAAAGTTCTGTTACCTGACTTTGTATCTCCTTTTTATCTTCAATGTTACATCTATGTGGACGTATTTATCTACAATTAAGTCAATATGAGCTTCATACTCTCTTATAGTACCTACATCATATTTGTCTTTAGCAAATGCTAATTTATATTTATTAATTAGTTGTTCAATTTCTGATTTCTGATTTAATTCTAAATGATTAATTGCCATTTCAAAATTGTCAGTATTCATACTCTCATTAAAATTTATTTCATATTTCTATATATCACTAATATTTTCTTTAGATGCATTTAAATACATGTTCCCTAAAAACCCAGGAGTGCTTACATTATCAATAATTGACAAATTTTCAAATTCTTTAGAGTTGTTGTATTGTGTGATCCTTAGATTTTTATTTTGAATTAATCTGAAATTCTTAATACAATCTAACCCAAATTAAAACATAGTAATTAAAATTTTCATTATCTACAATATATACCGGGTGGTCCAATAAGCCGATCTCTCGGCTATATATCAGAAACTATTCATGTTATAACTTTTGGAAAAAAAATTCCTTAGTAAAAGTGGTCAAGAGAAATCGCTGGAAATAACTTTCTGGGTTATTAATAAGTTTCTGGGTTAACCTCTAGGGGAAGTAACCTGTGAATAAAAATTTGTAAACCAGTTTTTTGTGAAATATGCCCAATTATACAGTATTGTGCGAATTAATGGAATCACTGTGAATTTTTTTTTCATTTTTTCAATATTCACAAGAAAATGTTTTGGGGATGTTTTTCATACATGGGGGTTGGATCTTTGGTGCCAATTGAAGGCATGATGAACAGCCAAAAATACAAATTCATGTTGGAAAAGTATTTGGACAAACAACTCCAAAAATGTCAACCCCAAGGAGGAGCGATTCTTCAACAGGACTCTGCTCCCTGTCACAAATCAAAGGAAATTATGGCATTTTTCAAAAATAAGAAGATTAATGTTTTAGATTGGCCCGGTAATTCGCCCGACCTCAACCCCATTGAAAATTTATGGGCTATTTGCAAAGCTAGACTGCGAAAAATCGACTGTACCACTAAAATAAAAATGATAGAAGCGGCCATTCAGGTTTGGTATCGAGATGAAAGGATATCTGACAACTGCCAGAAACTCATAGAATCTATGCCAAAACGGGTAAAAGCAGTAATTGCTGCCAAAGGGGGACATATTTCCTACTGAATGATGTAAGTTTACCTTTATAGTTTTGTCAAAATATAATTTTTTACTAAATAAACTGTTTTTTCATTAAAACAGCCTATGATTCCATTAATTCGCACAATACTGTACCAAGTGTTAAATAAGTAAACTAGAAAGAGGCCTTAATTCTTCACAAAGTTGTTCAAGTATTTTTTTTATTTTTTCAAATAAAGGGTGGGGGAGAGTGGGAAAGTATTTGTGGATAAATACCTATAATTTTGGTTTGGATCAACCGATTTTAACGAAATTAGTGTCATTAGAAAAAGTATGGATGGTTTAATTTATATCTAATATAAAACGATTGAATCTAGTTTTAATTGTCATGGGTAGAGGGTACTTTTGAATAGAAAAATTTAAAATTTATTTTTCTTCAAAATGTTTAAAGGAAACACCTGTTTATTGTAAATTATATTGGAAATCGATTAAAGTCGTAACAAAACGGCGCAAACCGTATGTTAATAGCTTTTGTAGAACTCGAGATATGAATAAAAACGCATAAACATAAATAAGTATAGTATTGACTCACCCTTTATTATAACTTAAAATTAAATATGTGAAAGATCATACAAACATCTCGATTATTAAAACTTAATGTCCAATTAAATGTTCAAATTGTTTTCCATCATTGTCCACACAAAGATGTAATCTTTCGCGCGTACAGATAACAGCTGCTTTAATCTCAGCTGTTGATATACTATTTATTGCGTTTATAATGCGCTGTTTCATCTCGACTCGCGTGGTTGGTCAAGTTTGGTACACAAAGTCCTTCAATCTTCCACACAGATAAAAGTCCAGATATGTTAAGTCTGAGGATTCCCCTTCCAATCCATTTATTTGGATAACTTGCATACAAATAATCTCGAACTCGTCTGGAAAAGTGCGCAGGATACCCGTCATGTTGTAATATCATATCTCTTCTTGTTTGTAAGGACATATCTTCCAATAAAACAGGCAACTGATTTTCCAGAAAATCCAAATATTTTTAGCCATTTAAAGTTATATCAAAGAAATATGGACCTACGATCTTTCCATCAACCATACCACACCAAACATTAAGACTCCATCTACCTTGAACCTGCACCTCATGTATCCAATGCAGATTTTGTTTAGCCCAATAATGCATATTATGCAGATTAACACCACCCGCACTATTAAACGTAGCCTCGTCTGTTCACAAAATTCTTGACATGATACGCGATTGTTCTTCTAACAGACCTAACATCCAATTGCAGCAATCCAGCCTTGCATCAAAATCTCTCCCATGTAAAGCTTGGTGGAGAACTACATGATAAGGATGCAGTCTAAAAAACAGAACAACAAATATTGGTGAAAAAGAAACCACTATATTTACTAAAACTCAAAAATCTTGAAAAATCTACAATTGTTTCACAAGATAAATCGTGCATAAGTATTTTTAAGGCCTAAACGTTTACTTTATAATATGAAAAACCAACCTGTGATGTTTTAAAATCCTTAGAACAGTAGTTTTGGGTACGTTTAATTCTATAGAGATTTGCCGACTACTTATATGCGGATTCTGTTAAATTAAAGCAAGAACATTGATTAAATTATCTTCGGTCATACCCCTACTACATCGTTTAAAACAAAAACGATGAAAACTACCAATTTCTCTTAATCTTCTTACCTTTCTTTCAAATACTTATTTGCCATAATGTCTCCTGTCAGGATATCTTACACAATATATACGTGAGGCAATAGCGGCGTTTTGGTGACATTCGAAATAAACTCCAATCATATCACACAATTTTGCATTTGATATACTCATCACGGATTATTAGTACTCGTAATTAATTACTGATATTACCAATATTAATATCTATTGAAAAAAGTGCAATCTTCAATTCGGATTATACCACTTTCGAAAAAACTATTTTTAATCATATAAAATAACAATATTCAAAATAGGTATCAACATTAAGATTCTTTTGCTATAAAAAATTGAAAGTACCTACTGACTTATTTTTTAATTTAACTGATAATACAGGGTGAGTCAATACTATACTTACTTGTGTTTATGCGTTTTTATTGAAATCTCGAGTTCGACAAAAGGTATTAACATGCGGTTTGCGCCATTTTGTTACAAATTTAATCCAGTTCCATTATATTTTACAATAAATAGGTGTTTCCATTAAACATTTTAAAGAAAAACAAATTTTAATTTTTTCTATTCGAAAGTACCCTCTACCTATGACAATTAAAACTAATATTTTGTAGTAGATGTAAATTAATTCATCCACACTCTTTCTAATGACACTAATTTCGTTAAAATCGGTTAATCCAATCCAAAGTTATAGGTATTTATCCACAAATACTTCCCCACTCTCCCCCACCCTTTATTTGAAAAAATGAAAAAAAGTACTTGAACAACTTTGTGAAGAATTAAAGCCTCTTTCTAGTTTACTTATTTGACACTTGGTATAATTGGGCATATTTCTAAAAAAACTGGTTTTCAAAGTTTTCTTCACAGGTTACGCCCCTAGCGGTTAACCCAGAAACTTGAAAGTTATTTTCAGCGATTTCTTTTGGCCACTTTTACTAAGAAATTTTTTCTCCTAAAGTTATAACATGAATACTTTCTGATATATAGCCGAGAGATCGGCTTATTGGACCACCCGGTACATCCATTTCTTCTGCAATGTCATAGATTTTTATCTTTAGTGTTACTATACAATTTGTTTTTTTCATTCATCCCAATTAGAATTTATTGAATATTTTATAAGCCTTCACCTATAGCAATCCACACATGATCCTTCTAAAAATAGTCTTAGAAGTTCAATTTTTTCCGTATTTTGATCTAGATATTTGCAATCTTGTGCACTCATTTTCAAATGTTTCCATCCATTGTAAAACGTTCACATTTTTGCCTGTAAATTTTTCTATCACACATTGTTTGGATACTTTGTTTTTATTAAAGGTTTTAATACATTGTTGTCCATTTGACTTTGTAACTCTCTCTAAGATCTGTTCTAATGCATCTAGTTGGATACCAGTTGTGCATGTTAAAGATTCTTTCCTTTGAATATCTTGTTGTTCTAAAAGAAAATGATTGAATTATATATTCCCAAATATTTTCATCTGCAATCCAAACTTTTCTTGTAGTACAGTAGACTCTCGATTATCCGTGCCTTGGTTATCCAAGCCCCTCGGTTAACCGAGGCAAAATTTTGCCTGGGGTTTACTTTTATAGCCGTACTTGTTGAATCACAATATCGAGTAATAAAAAAAGGGTCGATGGTCACAAGTTATATCGGCAGCTGTTATATGGGCAATCCATTGAAAATTGTGGATTATTGATAAGAAGAGAATTGTGTTTAGGTCAAGCTGATGTCGAGTTGGTATTCTCAGAAATTGGTCACCGCCTTATTTCCAGAAATTTCTGTGTCGTGTTTTGTCTACAACTTCCTGTTACTTTCTATGTTAATCAGTGTGAATTGAACTACCGATTTGTTTGTTGTCGTTCAGATCGTCAAATTATTTGTTTGCTGCCGTTCAGATCGTCAAATTAAGTCAAATTACTGTACGGTGAAATGTTTGCTTTTATGTACTGTTTTGTGTATTTATTCGAGTTTATAAGTTTAAGTTTCATAATTAATTTTTCATAAGTTGATTTTTGTGAGTGTAAGAGAGCATCTTTCTGTGCAATATGAGTGAAAAGCAGAAGAGAGTAGTTGTATCTTTAGAAACAAAAGTGAATGCAATTAAGAGGTTGGACAAGGGTGAATCAATAAAGAAGGTTGCTTCAGATTTAGGTGTCGGAGAAGTAACTGTTGGAGATTGGAAGCGTAAGCGGAATAAAATCGAACAGTGGGTTAACCGAAGTGTGAGTGGTGGTAGTGGATTGGCCCGGAAGACTATGAAGAAAGGGGACTATGAACAAACTTCTGAGGCATTGTTCTCGTGGTTTTCACAAATGAGAGGATTGGGCAGTCCGATAAGTGGTCCAATACTCCAAGCAAAAGCTATCGAATTCCAGAAGAAGTTTATGGATGGAGGAGAAAACTTTTGTGCTAGTGAAGGATGGATTGACTTATGGAAAAAGAAATATGGCATCCGACAATTAAATATTTGTGGCGAAAAACTTTCTGCTGACTCAACTGAAATTGGAACATTTTATTTAAAATTACAAGACATTATCCTTAAAGATGGACTAACTTCAGACCAAATATTTAACTGTGATGAGACAGGCCTTAACTTTAAAATGCTTTCATCGAAAACACTAGCTGCTAAAAATGAAGGAACTGCACAAAAGGAAGGTTACAAAAAAAGCAAAGAGAGAGTCACAATCATGATTTGCAACAATGCTTCTGGTTCATTAAAATTAAAACCTCTTTTAATCGGAAAATCCAGAAATCCAAGAGCATTCGAAAACGTCCAAATAAATTGCTTACCTACCATCTATAGCAACCAACGCAATGCATGGATGGACTGTAACACTTTTAAGGACTGGTTTTTTAATGACTTTGTGCCAGTCATTGATGCCTACTTAATAAACAAAAATCTGCCTCGGAAAGCTTTGTTGTTGTTGGACAACGCACGATCCCACCCAGTGAGATGCGAGTGAATTGATTAGTGGTGACATACGAGCTGTGTTCCTTCCACCCAATGTGACGTCTCTCATCCAACCCCTAGACCAAGGCGTTATAGAAGCAATGAAGAGGAATTATCGGCGGAAGCTTCTTCAGGTACTGCTAACTAATCTGCATGAAGGGCTGACTGTAATTGAGACATTGAAGAAAATCACGGTTAAAGATGTTTCCTATTTGATTGCATCTGCTTGGGACGATGTAAAAGTGTCCACTATTCAGAAGTCGTGGAAAAAATTATTTAAGATAATCAACAAAACACAAGACGTTTAAAATGAAACTGATGACTGTGAAGTTGAATATATAACCAACCTAGCCAATCAATTACCAGTAGAACAACCAATTGGAAACCACGACATCATCGATTGGATGAATCTAGATGAAGAAATGGAACTGATAGATGATGCAATTGCCAATCTAGTTCTAAACGTCACTCATGAAGAAGATACAGATGAGATAACTCAAAACATTTCTCATTCCGATGGATTGAAGTCCTTTGAAGCAGCCCTCGCATACATCGAGCAACAAGAAGAATCGACACCATTAGACGTGCTCAATTTTCAACGTTGGCGCAACATCGCCGCCTCAAAAAGAGGAAGGAAGTTAAAACAAAAATCAATCAAAGACTTTTTTAAACAATAACATTTATAATGTAAATTGTTTTATCTTTTATACTACTTTTATATTAGTGTTTAATTATTAAAATAAACACAATAATCATTATTTGCGTAGGTACACATTTTTTTATCAGTACATATAACAAATCTATGTTAACCGAGTTTTTTCGGTATCCGAGGTAGTCCCGGTCCCAATTACCTCGGATAATCGCGAGTCTACTGTACCCCATTTTGTTAGAGACCTTTTTACTTTCTGAAAAGCCGCTGTCGTCTGGATTTTTTCGTGATGGGAAATATTTTGCATATCATAGGGCATTGCAAAAATTTCATTTTCTTTATTCTCAATTGTGGTCATTATAATGATATTTGTTTTAGTATCAGTTTTCAATGATTAAACAGTAAATTCAAATCTTAGTTTTGCCCTTTTGATATTTAAAAAATTTTATATTTCTGTTAGCAAAAATGTTGTTTTGTAATAACGTTTTTTATCAGCAAACTTTTGTTAATAAACTCAACTGCCTTTATTTGTAAAAAAGTAAACTTTATTATTTCCTGTACAATGTTAATTATAATAAATACATTACCTGTAAAAAGAAAAAACATCTAAAGCTTATATTCAAGTTATAAAAATTACAGGCGACTTTAATATAAACTGAGAGACATTAAGGGAAAAAAATACAGGGTGTAATAAAAAGGTAGGTCATCAATTAAATCACGTATAAAATATTATTTTTCAGCGCATTCGGTTTTCCTTACAACCTTTATAAAAAAATCAGAAATAGACCTCTTATACCGATGAAAAAGGCAAATAGAAAGAGCAATAAATGAAGGTGTAAAAATAGATGATCAATGGAGAATAAGGAATAATAAAGAGCTTAAAAAACTACATAATGAAAAGCAAAAAGGGTAATATTAAGAATTAGAAAGAAAAAGCATTGGAAAGAAATCAGTGGAAGAAAGTAAAGAAAATAAGAAAAGACAAGAAAATAAAGAAATGTATAGAACAACTATAGAAAATTTTAAATGTATTTTGTATAAATTAATTTAAATAGATTTTTATGGCCTGTTGAGCTCTATAAATAAATAAATAACAAGTTTGGGAGGATTAGAGACAACTCAGAGAGATACATGTCTAGCAGCGACCACTACAGAACATTATAGAATACAATGAACTACAAAAATTTAGAAATGAACCAACTGTACAGACACTTCAGAACATAACAAACTTCACACTAGAGCATTAATGTTAAACGTATCGTATACATTTAGTAAACACTTACAGCAAGTTCTCCAAAAGGATCTCTTTCGTCAGTAATATCTACAACTAGTCTTGATTCTGTGTTCATGTTCCACACAAAAACTTCGCTATTAAACTCTACTATATGAAAAGCATCGGTCTTTTTGAGTTGATCCAGAATGTTGCCCATAGCTTCCTTTAGTTGTTTGATCTTTCTTCCGGACATACTACTACTGGTATCCAAGATAAACACGACGTGTTTCGATAGAGGCTCAACGTCTTCTGGAGCAAAGAAATGTACAAAGTATCCATCCTTGAGAAGGATCTGCAATTTAAAAAAAATCGTTCTTATTAGAAATGTTTCCAATAAAAATTTAGAATAACTTATTTAAGATGTATCTGTAATTTGAAAGATAAAAATTAATTACATGTTATGAAAACTGATAATAGAAACAGCCAGGATGCAAACATAAAATGGAAGAACCTAACAGACACTATATTAAAAGTAAAAATAAAGAGTGTTTCTTTAGAGGTATAGAACTTTGATACAAGATAACGCATTGTAATTTGCCATAATAGCGATATCCGATGTTTGCCTTGGCTCTTGGTCCACGTGGACTGATCAACAATTCGATGATGATAACTTCAACTGGGTGACGGCCCATATTTTCAAACATAATACCAGGCTCATCTGAATGTAAATATCGATAAGAATATTAAAATTATTACTAGCGGACCAACTCGACATCGAGTTTTGATGTAAGTTTTGCTGATATTTAAGAGGGGCGGAGTCTAACGATCCATCGTTTCTATCGCCTGGTGTAAATGTTCCAAAAATCCTAAAAATAAACTGTATCGACGCCAATTTTTTTAAATTGAAAATCGATACAGTAGTTTTTTAGGATTTTCAGGAAGATTTACATTAGGAAACGGAAACAATATTATTGTTAGACTCCGACCCTCTTAAATAAAAAACGGAAGTAAAACCGGAAGTGACTCTTTTTTGCATATTTTAGATTGTAAAATGCCACGTTTAAGAAAAAGAACTCGGTTTAAGAACTCGCGGCACCGTCCATATGGTCTGGAACACCGTGAAAGAAAAAGAATAATTTTTAAAACTAAATCCGGAAGTAGGAAGTAAATACTTCCGGTTTCATAATTCTGAATTCAATCAGTAAGTATAAGAAAAAAGTAGACGCGGTCATATTTTAAAAATAGATTGAAAATTAGGACTGTAAATTTTGAAGAATGAAACCTGTAAAATTCCTATACTTTACTATAGGAAAAATTCATTTTATGGCCGCTACTTTTAAACCGGTTCGAGTTTTTTAAATTTGAAACCTTAGGGGGAATCTACTCAAGAATCTGTTTAATTATTCGAAAAAATTATTCTCCTATCTATCACCGTTTAGGAGGAGTATTGCGCACAAGAAAAGGGCTTAGCCTTTTAGTATATAAGATACATCTCAGTCATTGATCAATTTGCAGTTAATAACTTCTCCTGGTAGAATACTTTTATTTTAATGATTATTCTGCAGCATTTTTTGGTTTGCAAAAAATATTGCGTATCTTAATAAAAATAATGCATGTATTTTTAAAAATATGTGCATATACATGCGCATATTTGAGAAAATTTTACATTACTGATATTTAGTGGTAAATTCTGCAATAAACCAGTCTTAAAACTTAATACAGCAGTCCTAAAATTTTAAATTCGAAGAATACAAAGTTAATTTATCATCATTCTTATATCAATATCCTTTCACATTCATATCCAGCTCTAGCATCTACCACCAGATCTCCTTTTGTCTTCCTAGTCCAAGATATGGCGGCAAAAATAGTATAAAACCTCTGATTTTTTTTATATGCATCAATTTGCTTGAAATTTTGATAGTAGTTAACAAAAAAGCTTGAAGACTAAAATCTACTCTATGCCAAGATGTGCTTTTCTTCTGGGGGTGATCTGTACGCCAAAGTGAATTAGGACTTATGGTAAACGAGGAAAAAACCAAATATATATGTTAATTTCTAAAAACCCTCGAAATATCCAACACAGAATTTAAATTAACAACCATACCTTTGAGCAAGTCAAAGAATTTACATATCTTGGATCGCTAGTAAACGCAACAAACACGACAAGCGACGAAATAAAAATACGCATAGCAATAGCAAACAGAACTGTTCACGGTCTCTAGAAACATTTAAAAAATAAAAATATAAAACGTGCAGTGAAACTTAATATATACAAGACCTCAATAAAACCGGTTTTGATATATGGGGCTGAAACGTGGACCTTATCTCAAAATGATAAAAGATTTCTTGGTATTTTTAAGAGAAAAATTCTTGGAAAGATTTTTGTGGCCGTAAATGAAAATGGGGTATGGCGTCGAAGATACAACTTTGAACTATATCAGCTATACACCGATCCAAATATTGTGAAATTCGTTAAGTTACGCAGACTTAGATGGGCTGGACACATTGCTAAGATGTCAGATCACGAATACACGAAGCGATTAACATTTTCAAAGCCAGAGGACACAAGAAGCATAGGACGACCACGAATGAGATGGATCAATCATGTGGAAGAATATCTACAGATTCTAAGGGTTAGAAGATGGAGGGAAGTTGCCAGGAATCGACAGGAGTGACGACTTCTTTGTGAGCAGGTCAAGATCCACAACGGATTGTCGAGCCACTTATGATGATTACGTGCTGGAAGTTTAACTGGTTTGGAAGATTTAGTTTCGAAAAAATCCGAGTTTAAAGAGAAGAATTTATTTTCGGAATTTCTTTACAAAATGACTCCTAAAAACACTAAAAAAGATAAAAAAAAACAGAAAATGATAAAATACAAAAAAGAACGGATTTTTTTACTAAAGATTTCAATCACTTTGTAGCTTTTAATATTCAAGAACATTGTTTTAAAGTATTTTATTTTGCGATAGTATAACTCTTCAACAGTATCCAGTTAAAATTTCAGAGTGATTGGAGTAAAATTCAAGAAGTTATAGCCATTTATAAGTGAGTGAGCTAAGTGAGTGAGGTGACTAAGTGATGTGAGTGAAGGTGGATAGTTAATTAAGTAAGTGAATGAGGTGAGTAAGTAAGGAAGGTGAGTGAGATGAATGAGTGGGGTGAGTGATTAAGGTGAGTGAATGAATGAGGTGAGTGATTAAGGTGAGTGACCATAGTTTTTTTTTGATAAATATTTTCCACCTACGAGTTGGGTTGGAGTTGGGGTGCTAACCATCTCCAAAGGAAAGCACATATTACTATAGGCAGATTTTGATCTTTGACCTATTTTCTACCTACTGTCAAAATTTTAATCAATTCCATGTATATAAAAATATTTCTGAGCAGAAAACCGTTATATCCTGGACTATCCTCTCTTAGTCTAAATAACGATTGGAACAGAAAACCCATCGCTGTTTTTAGTTTCAGACATTTTTTTACATATTTCCAATTGTCAACAAACGCACGTGAAAGTCAATCAATGTCGTACTGAGGTGTATCATATGATTTTTAAAAATATTTACTTTTGAAACTATTAGTGTAAGAATTTCTTAAAATTGAATCATTATGAGAAAAACTTAATATCCCATTGAAGCAAAATGTGCTAAAATAAGAAAATAAGAATTGTTTTTTAATCGGGGAAGTATCTTTTTGAACCAATTTTCAAAAGATTTCCCGTCCATCTCTTCATGGTAGTCTCTTTTTTAATTCAAATACCCAGAGCCCTTCTGGAACAAACCCATCTTCACTGCCAATGTGGCAGATTATTAGTCTTTTTCCTTTTCCTGGAAATTTTATTATTTTAAAAATTACTTGTGACTCTGTGAAAGAGCACATAAACATTTACCTGCAGGATTTTTTAACCCCGTAGAAAGTCTATCTAAAAACGCTTGTTTATAAAACGTTATCGAATTGTCGACCCATACTTTAAATTTGGTAAACCAGCGTTTAGCCAAGTCTCGTCTAAGTAGTAAATTTCGCGATTTTCATTTGTGTAGGACTGAATTTTTATCAGAAATTCTTGTCTCCACAAGACAATTTCGTCCCTGTCCATCAAAATGCTGTTTCGCTGACGACGTTGAAACTTAAGATTTATTTCTTTCAATAATTTAAAAAACGAAGTTCTTTTGAAGTTAGGCAAAACTGGATCTTCATTAACAACCCTTACAGAAATACTCCATTCACTCAAGGTAAAACTTTCCCAAAGAACAGCTAGGATTGACATGACATTTTGCATACAATATTTTAGCTAATATTTTAAATAAAAAACGTTATATTGTGTCGATGTGTGTTTTTGCCCTAGAGGTGAGTTTCACCCATTCTCAGAGGTGAAAACACATACTTTCAAAATAAGTCAGGTATTTGATAAAGTGACTAATTTTAAGCAACCTTTGTTCTATGGAATTTTTTTTACTGAGTCAATACTTTTCGAGTTATTTGCGAGTGAATATGTTCATTTTTCAACAACAAAAAAAACAAGGTTTTTAGACGGTTTTTGTAAATAACTTAAAAAGTTAGTATTTTATCAAAAAAATATTCTTAGCAAAAATATAGCTTATAAAATAGCAAAAAAAATGTGTACGTATCAAGCCAGAATCACATTTGTAGCTAATGAAGAGAAGGTTCGTATTCGATAAATTCCAAATCGAATATTTCAACGTGAAAGAATAAAAAAAACAAGCACTTTACTTTCCCCGACAGCGAGTTTTTCCCGAAAAGTGCATCATTTTTTTATATTTCTCGATGAAATATTCGATTTGAAATCTGAATTAATTTTCATTATCCACAACTCTGCTTTTACTGGGTCTACTGACCTTATACAGGTATAAGTACATTATTTTAACTTTTCTATAAGCTGTATTTTTGTCAAAAATATGTTTTTCGATAAAATACTTACTTTTTAAGCTATTTGCGGAAAACCATCTAAAAACGTGGTTTTTTATTGAAAAATGATCATATTCACTCGCAAATAATTCGATAAGTATTGACTTTGTTCAAAAACTGTATAAAATAAAAGTTGCTTAGAATTAGTTAGTTTATTTAATTAAGGACTTATTTTGAACGCATGTTTTTTTACACACGAGAAGGGGTGAAACCATCGAGCAAAAAGACAAAAGAGGGAATGTAAATGTAGTGGGGGCAAAAATATTGTTAGACAGAAAGTGCGATCTTTAGAGGCCACATTAAACAAGGAAAGAGAGTCCCTCTCCTTGTTTGACATCAAATTTAGTTGGGATATGTTATTGTTTGTCCCAAATGTCGCATAAAATCTTATTTATATTGAAGTTTTTTAACAATTGTGTTGCATTTTAGACTATTATCGTTAATAATTAATTAAAACTTTCTCGTCTAAGGCACATTCTGAAAAATATTATATAGCTACTGTTAATAAGTGTCGGAAAATTTAAATTTGGCGCATTCGCATTTCCGGATATGTCCGCCATCAGATGCCACTTTTTTGGTCTCCTTTTCATAAGTTTTAGATTCCCTCTTTTGTCTTTTTGCTCGATGGGTGAAACCCACCCCCATGTCAAAATCACGGATGGTCACAATATCACTTTTTTTTCTTTACCGTTAACTATGTATATACCAAATTTCAACCAATATACCAATAAATTAAAATATTGGTTTCTCTTACCTTTATTAAAGTGATTACCGCAAGATATGTTAACTTTTGATTAACAAATACTTTGTTTTTGGATTTAAAAGTTCACTACACACTATAAAACTTAATACTAAACACTTAAACTAAACTTTAGAAAATAACACGACCAGTAAATAACTTATCAATAACTATAACATATAACACACAATATATTAACTTAAAAACCAACATGCTACAATTTGAATTTAAACGGACTGGTAAGTTTGGACCTGTAAAATGAGAATCCGTCTGGCTTAAGGTAATAAATTATATTAGTAGCCTCTTAAAGAACAAAAGGGCGAATATCGTGCGATTGTTTACACATGGGGAATTTGTTAAACGAATATACTTAAATATTTTAACAAAAAATTACCACATACAAACAAAACTAAATAACTCACCTCTCCTTTATAGGGATCTCTCTCCACATCGTACTGTACAACAAATTGTCCAGCTATACCTTTATTTTCTATCTGTCCCAGTTCTTTTGCAAAATCTCTCTGTTTGTTGACGTTGGGATTGAATTTAACAACAGCGCTATTGTTGACTATATGGATATCTGCTGAGGGGTCAAGCTTTGGGTCGTTTTTGCTAATTTCGTTTCCCGACCTCAGCGAAGGAATTTTTACAAATTTTAAAGGACGGCTTTCATTCAAAACGACCTACAAATAACAGTTTAAAGCAAATTTCGTAAAAGTTCCTCTATAATAAACTATTTTTAATAATTATTTAAAATATTGTAGCATTTTATTTTTATCCTGTACACCATAGAATATCGATAAACTTTATATATTTTTGCGTTTTTAAAAGTGAATATTCTGCTAGGAGATTTCAACGCCAAAGTAGACAAAGGAGGTATTGGCAATACTGTGGGACACTTTGGACTAGGAACCAGATTGACTACATCATCATCAACAAAACTATTTCAAAATTCCGTAAAATCGGCAAAAACACATCCGGGAGCAGATGTTCCATCAGACCATAATCTTGTACTAGGACGTTTCAAACTCCACATGAAAAAAGTCTATAAAAGAAAAGCACACAAAGGTCCGGACATCCAGAAGTTGAAAGATAAAACCACAAGAGATGAAGTCAAAGAGGAGATCAACAACAAAATAAATAGCGTGGTAATCTCAGATATATATATATATATATATATATATATATATATATATATATATATATATATATATATATATATATATATATATATATATATATATAATAACGGATTGATTAAGGCTGACGCCGCTTCTCCGCCCCCAATTTCTATCTTTTTCTGTCATACGCAGTTGCCTCTTCTAAGTCTCTTGCCGCCATTGCTTCATCAATATCTTTGAGCCAACTTCTCCGTGGTCGTCCTCTCTTTCTTCTTTCAGGAGGGATCCATTCCAGTACTCTTTTATGCCATTTGTACTCTGGCATTCTTTTAACATGTCCGAACCAGATTAATTGTTTTCTTTACATGTCATCATTGATATTTCGCTCCATTTTCATTTCGTTTCTTATTTGTTCGTTCCTAACTCTTTCTAGTTTTGATCTACCGCAGCTTCATCTCAGATAATCCATTTCTGTCGTCATAAGTTTGTTTTTATTAGCTTTGGTGACGTCCCATACTTCCAAACCGTAAAGTGTAATACTTTGGACTATACTACCGTAAATGTGTTTTTTGGTTTCTCGTCGAATTGTTTTTTGCCAGAGAAGAGAGTTTAACGCACGGGTCGCTGCTCTACCCTTGTTTATTCTTTCCCTGATTTCATCTGCGCTATTTCCCCCTCTTATTGAAAATGACCCCCAAATATTTGCAGGATTGTACGCCTTTGATTTTGTCGTCTTCCAAGACTAGGTCACATATTTCATCTGTTCCCACTGATAGATATTCACATTTTGTCATATTCATGTTTAGACCTGCCACCTCATATTCTTCTTGTAGTTTTCTTACCATATAGCTAAGATCGTAGCTATCTTCGGCAATTACTACCTGGTCATCCGCAAAGAAAAGTGTATATAGCGTGTTTTCTTCCACCGTTATTCCCATGTTTCTACATTTTTTTATCCATTTCACTAAGGATCTGTCCAAATAGATTTTAAATAAGGTGTGTGACAGACAGCAGCCTTGTCTTAGTCCCTTTGTTGTTTGAAAAGGAGAGGTGATTTCTTGTCCCATTTTAATTCTTGCAAAGTTTTGTTCGTAGTATTTTTGAGTGGCGTTAATAAGAATTGGGTTTATTTTCAAGTTATCCATTTCTATTCATAGTTGGGAGATCGGTACACTATCATATGCTTTTTCCAGGTCCATTAAAGCTATATGGATTTCTCTATTTCTCTGCACTTGTTTTTCCAATGCAATTTTTAATGTAAAAATATTATCCATAGTGGAGCGTCCGGCCCTAAATCCCGCTTGTTCTTCGGGTTGTTTATCTTTAATATCATTTTCTATCAGGTTTCTCAGTACTTTTGAATATAATCGACCTATAGTAGCAATCACTGCGATCCCTCTATAGTTTTTAGGATCCGTTTTTGTGCCTTTCTTGTGTATTGGAGAGATATACGATTGTCTTCATTCTTCTGGAACTTCTTCTCCGTTTAAGCATCTTTCGAATAATTTTCGGATTATTTCAAGCAGTTTTGATGATCCATATCTAATCAACTCTGGATGTATTCCGCCTGGGCCTGGAGATTCTCTTATTTTCATTCCCTTAACTGCTTCTTTCACTTGTTCTATTGATAGTTCTATTCTTCCTTCTACTTGCACTTGTTCATTTGTTTGTTTAAACCTTTCACTTCTCTCTGTTAATAAGTTCTCAAAATGCTCTATCCATGTGTTCTCTGGTATTCTATTTATTATGATTTGTTTTTTTGTCGTTGTTCTCATCGTTTTTGTAGTTCTCCAGGCTTCAGAGCTCTTTGTCCCTCCTATATGGTTGTCTAGGTATTGGCATTTTTATTCCCATGCACTATTTTTCTTTTTAACGACTTCTCGTTTGACTTCTTTATTCAAGTTTTTATATTGTTGTTTTGTTTGTTCGTCTCCCTGTTGTAATAACTTTTGATATACTTCCTTCTTTCTTTTTATCTTTTCTTCCACTTCTTTATCCCACCAATATGGTTTATCTACTCTCCGTACCTGTGGCCCTAAGGCTTCTAGCGCTGCGTCTTTCATGCAGTTTTTTATATGTCCGTATTCATCCGACGTTGATCTGTGTGATTCCTGTAGTTTTTGTGTTAGTCTCCAGGAGTAAAGTAATTATGTGCTCTCGTTATCTAGATTGTCTAAGGTGTACGTCGTTCTTTCTATTTTTTCTCTGTGTTCTTTGTTGATGTTTGTGTGATTCCTGTCTACGAATGGTGTATATATTTTTCCTATTATCAGGCAGTGGTCCGAACCGCACTCTGCTCCTCTATTCACCTTTACGTCCTGTACTCTTAGCTTAGTTTGTTGCCTTGTTATCAAATAATCTATTATCGATTTTAGACCTCTTGTGTGCTAATAAAAGGTGTATTTATGTATGTTCTTGTGGGCAAAAAAGCCATTCAAAATCTTTAACTCATATTGTTGGCATATATTTATGAGTCTCTCTTCGTTATTGTTAAGGGTTTCTTCTCCATGCATGCCTACCACTTTACTTCGTACTTGTTTTCCTACTCTGGCATTAAGGTCTCCTTCGTATATAATCTCATGGCTGTTAGAAATTTCGTTCAGGATTTTTCTAAAGCCTACTTCAAAAGCTTCCTTTTCTTGTACTGACTAGTCCTCATTTACGGCATATACCCCCAGAATTGTTATTTGTGTTCGTCTTAGGAGAATCGTCACTTTAATAAAACGTTCGTTGTATGCTTCTCAGATATTAATCAAGAAAATATAAGTGTGGATGACACGTGAAATAAAATCAAAAATATATGTAATTCAGTGGTAGATATTTAACTTAAACCAGAAAACAATATAAAGAAACAAAGAGACTAAAAACCAACAAAGCACCTGGACCTGATAACATACAAGCTCAAATATTGAAACTATTTGAAAACAATCAACTCAAACTCCTAACGAGTCTACTGAACAATACAGATTGGCTAGTTTTCACCTTCTACCCTCTCCCCAAAAAGGCAAGTGCCACCAGAAGCTCTGATTACAGAATTATAAGCTTAATAAACCATGCACTCAAAATCCTTCTTTGTGTTATTTACTCTCGCATATATAGAAAACTTGAAGAAAACACTAGCAGTGTTCAGTTTGGGTTTAGAAGCAGACTGGGAATGCGAAAAGCCCTATTTTTCATAAAAGTATTGATACAAAGAGCTCGAAACGTAAATTGCAAAGTCTACGCATGTTTTATAGACTTTGAAAAAGCATTTCTCAAGGTACAACATCAAAAATTATTTTAAATACTGAAAGAATCCAGTATTGATGACAAAGATTTATACCTAATTAAAAATTTATACTTACAGCATAGGGCAACTGTACGAGTAGGCAACGAAACCTCACAAGAATTCACGATAAAACAGGGAGTACGTCAGGGCTGCATTTTGTCACCGACGTTGTTCAATATTTACTCGGAAATGCTGTCCAGGGAAGCTATTGATAGTTTAAGAAAAGGTATAAAAATCAATGGTGAAATCGTAAATAATTTAAGATATGCGAATGATGCGGTTTTGATTGCTCATAACGCGGAGGATCTGCAAACATTAATAGACCGTGTAGTGGAAGCCTGTAACAAATACGGCATGAAATTAAATGTAAGAAGACCAAAATTCTTGTAGTTTGTAAAAACGACGTAATACAGCACCAATTCACAGCTAATAATAAACCCTTGAAAATAGTCGACAAAATTACATATCTTGGATGCAGCTTAAATAAGGAATGGGACTACTTCGGGAAATAAGATGTTGTATAGAAAAGGCGAGAGCTGTCTTCAATCGCCTCAGGAAGATTTTATGTAATATGCACCTGAATATGGATATAAGAACACGAGTCTTGAGATGCTATGTATTTTCTACCCTTTTATATGGAGTCAAAGCTTGGACCTTCACGAAGGCATCCAAACAATTAGAAGCCTTCGAAATGTGGTGCTATCGCCGCATGCTCAGAATTTCCTATATCCATTATGTTACAAACAACACCGTGATCCAACGTATGAATAAAGATCTAGAATTATTCGTATCATTAAAATTAGAAAGATGACATACGTAGGGCATGTGATGCGCAAAGAGAAGTATCAACTAATTCAACTAATTTAACGCAAACCTTTATCCAAACGACTACTTTCAAAGAATGGAGTTTTTGAAACTCTAATAACGAAGGCGAATTCCTTGTCAAAAGAACGTAGATGATAAAATAAAACTTTCCAACATTAGAATAGGGACCTGGAATGTTCAGAGCATATTTCAGTCTTGTAAAATGCACAATGTTATTCAACAAATAAACAGATTGAATATCGATGGGTATCAGTGAAGCTAGGTGGCCCAACTCAGGTTGTTTTTCAACAGACGAAACCACAATATATTATTCTGGTCGCGAGAATAACCAACACGGACACGGCGTGGCAGTAATAGTTAATAAAAAATCTAATAGAGCAGTGGAATGCTATTTTCCTATCTCAGAAAGGGTAATGGTACTGAAGCTGGTGACATCTTATCCCAAACTGAATTTGATATAAGTTTATGCTCATACGGCGAATGCCGACGAAGAAGAAGTGAAATTATTTTACCGAAATATCGAAGAGGCAGTTAGAATAACAAAAACAAAAGAAATCACGATAGTCCTAGGTGATCCTCCTTCCGGCTCGAGCAGATAACAATACGGCCAGGCCAGAAGACCCTGCCTGTAGTAAGATGCGACTAATGGGCGGATATGAGAGGTAGAGGGCCGTCGTTTGAGGTGTCGGGTTGGTAGAAACGCACAGAGATGCTTAGTCATCTCAGTCACCGGTCGACATTCCTAGTACCCGAGACGAGCGCCTCGTGGTACCACTCTACTCTCATTTTCCACAAGAGCCAGGTGAGGTTGAACAAGCCAGGTACGTATGCACCTCCTGAAGCCGACACCGTGGAAGGGGGTGTGGTTAGACTCGGCACGTACCCACCTCGGAATGATCTATGAGTGGTAGAGGAGCGATTCCTCGGCGGCGACCTGTCTTCGTGCGAGGTGGTATTCCACCACCTGCGCGCCTTTCCGCCTCCGGGGGGAAGACTTACGGAATGGTAGCGTGACCCGCAACACAGGTACTACGGGGTAGGTGGAGCCCCACGATGTTTCGGCATCGTGCCACCTCCAATTATGCAATCTTTGCCAGTGCAAAGATTGGAAAATAACAAAGCGGAAAGTGTTTAAGAAACTATGGTCTGGGAAATCGAAACGAGAGCAGAACTTGATTATTACTAACACATTTTTCAAGTTACCCAACAGACGACTGTATACATGGCGATTACCCGCAGTTACATCGGAGAAAGTAGTCAGGAAATAGATAGACTACATTATGATTAATGAAAGATACCGTAATGCTGTTAAACCGTGAAAGTATATCCTGGATCAGACGTGGCCTCAGATCACAATCCACTTATTGCCAAGATTAAACTCATCCTTAAAAATATTAAAAAACATCAAATAATTTCTACAGTCGACACAAGAAAACTTAAAAAACCTAAAGTAAAAGAATGCCTCCAACATGAACTGCATGTGAACTGCAGCAAATTGAACACAAACACCAATAATATTGACGAGTACTGGGATCGACAAAAACATTGTTTACTGGAACCCTGTAAAGAAATACTAAAGACTTTCGCAAGGAGAAAAGAAGAATGTATGAATGACGAGATACTCAATATGATGGAACAACGGAGACAATTTAAAAATAAAGTCAACAATAATCACGAGATCAGGAAGATGATAAAGCAGGCAAAAGAAAAATACTTTAAAGAGAAATGCAAAGAGGATGACCACCAAATAGATGGACGGATGATATCAAGCGCATCTCCATAAACTGGATGCAAGAAGCTCAAGATAGAAATAGGTGAAAAATTTTACGGGAAGCCTACGTTCAGCAGTGGACAAATATAGGCTAATTGATGATGATAATGAACTTGAATAGTTATACCTCGATTTATTACAGAATCATGTTTTCCCGCTATTTTTAATCTTACTGATGTAAATCTGGAGAATGTTTGGTTTCATCAAGACGGCTATTCAGTTCAGACCGCTTAAATAATTAGGTAGTACTTAAACAATACTTTCCCGAATCGAGTTATCAGTGGAACAGGCGATATTAAGTGGTCTGCGCGATCCCCAGGTTTTACACCTAAGACCATCATCTACGATAATCTTGAGGCTGGAGCCCAAAATTTGGATAAATTAAAAAAACAATTAAGAGAAGTCTCCAATTATGTTACAGCAGAAATTCTTTCAACTGTCCGCAGAAGTTTTTATAACAGATTTTGATACTATTTAGCCGTAGAAGGTTAAATATTTTAATTATTTTTGTAGGGCATTAAGAATTATTTCTTATTTTATTAAGAATTAATTTTTATTTTCAATATGAGTATTTTTTTTGTTTTATTTATTTAAAGAAATGCGCTTTTATTTTTAATACAACTACAAAAAATTGTTCACAATCTTAAAAACCGATACAAACACACTGCCTTATAAAGGTCAGTGTATCGTTATCGAGTTTATGTTATAAAAAATAAACCGGGCATACGTAATAAAAAATTGATGCAGTATAACTTGTTAGAGAATAGGTATGGCATATACCATAATATTGTTACGATATAAAATTTAAATCTTTAATACTAACCTCAATGTTCATATCGCTAACCACCTGACCAGGGTGTATGTTTAGTACGAGTTCATACTGGTTGCTTTTTCTCTCTAAAAGTTCTTCATAGGTAAGTTGGAAACTTGCCTTACTTTCTGGCTCAACGTTGATAGACACCGTGAATTTGTTGGAGTCTCTAGCATTAGCTGAGACATGACCAGCACTTAGGCCTTGTCGAACAGCCTAGAATAAAATTGGTTATTCAATAAAAAATATTAAATGTTAATATAACGAAGTTTAAAGGTAAGATAAATAGGATAAAGAATGCGCATAGAAAACGGATGGAGTTAAAATAGTATAGAAATGTTTTCAAAAATTAACTGCTTTGTTAAATTTTAATGGAGCTGTACCATGATATGCCTATATTATTTCGTAGACTGTTTATATTACGCTTAGCAGTTCCTGTATAATTAATTTCATCTGTGTTTAATCTAGTTAAAAAGTACGTAATACTTCTGACATGTAACCAATTTTATATTATAAAAAGAAATACACTCTCATTTTGAAAGTACCTATTAAAAATGTTTGTAGTAACATTTATTTTTAAGCTGTCTGGCTAAAAGTATATATTATACCCAGATTCTAAGATTTTAGGCATATTAGTTATGTTCTCTTTCTCTTTGTTTGATCATAAAATATAGTAAGAAGTTACATATTTTATTGAGTATATTACGACTATGATTTAGAACTAAATAGCTTTTCTGTTTAAAAATTATGATCCGTACCCCTTATTTATCAATTTTACAATTATAATATTGTTCTGAATAAAACAATAATTAAAAACTGATGTAAAAGAAGTAAAAACGGAACAAAAACATACATATTAAGAATACATACATAATAAGAAATGAGGAAACTCAGAACTAAACGAGTTAAAACGAGATAAAACAAGAAAATAGTTAAATTCGGAAAGAAAATAAACAAAACAAAAAGGATCTGAATAATACAAAAGGACGCCTTGAAAGGCTGGATAGAATACGAAAAGAAAAAAATGTGATAATACAAGAAATGGCAATAGAAACGGTAGATAGAAGAACACAAAAAGAAGTAAAATGAAATTTTATGGCAAAATAACAAAATATTAACTATACATATATAGTATATATAGAAGATGCAATAAAACTAGGAGATCAAACATGTTTAGTTAGACTGCCAAACAAAGAAAAAAAAACAAAAATTATGGAAACAAAAGTAAACTTAAAGAAGTGAAACAAGAAAAAATATATATAAACAATGATCTAACGACAGAGTAATTACAAATACAGAAGAAAATATGAAGAATAACCAAAGATGAAATAAATAAAGGTAAACGTGTCCAAATTAAAGCCAACAAACTGATAATAGACGATCGAAAAAAAATGGAATATAAACACCAACCAGTTGGAGGACACTCCTGGAGGTGGTTCAAAAAACTAGCAAGGGATGAAAGGATACACTATTAGTTGACGAATGAGGTAAAGAAACAGAAAATGACTGCAGATTAACTCAGGTACAACAAAAGTAAAATAAAGAAAGATATACAAGAAAACAAAAATAAAAGATGAAGACAACAGGACAAAAAAATAAAGAGTTGAACATAAACACATGGAACATCATAAGAACATAGGTTCAGGAAAAACGCTAGAAATAGGAAAAGAACTCAAACAGTATAAAATAGATATTGCAGCACTGCAAGAATTACGTTGGGAGAGACAAGGACAGGTTGATAACCAAGACTTTACAATGGTATATTCAGGAGAAAAGAAGCAAGGGCAAAAAATGGTGGGATTCATAATATTAAGGCATCTAAGAGAGAAATATATATCTAATAATCTATAAATTTCAAGAAAATAGGGGAATGGATGACCTACGTAAGAGTCAACAACAAACCAATTAATATATCAGTGTTGAACTTGAAACAAGCTACGCCCCTACAGAAACAAGCAATGCAGACGAAGACGAAATCTTTTATGATAGGGTCGAAAAGAAGATAAAAAAATACCCAAAAATGATGTCATATTTGTACCAGGAAACTTCAATGCCCAGATTTGAAAAGAGGACTTTTATAACAAATTTCAGGAAAGCATCCAATACATGAAAACACGAATGACAATGGGCAAATACTATGTAACCTAGCAACATGAACAAATTTGTTAATAAGCTCAATAACATTTGAACACACTAAAATACATAAGGTAACATGGACGTCACCAGATCAGCAAACATACAGTCAAATTGATCACATAATGATTAATAAACCGTCAATAAAAGATGTAAGAACATTTAGAGGTGCGTGTGCAGATGCAGACCACAACATGGTCCACAGCCACTATAAGATAAATTTTTTTTTTTTTTTTTTAGTAACACCTGCGCGGTGTTTGTATACTGCTATCTAGTCACAAATGACCAATTATCAGTTATTTTCTGACCTAACATAATAACAGCAGATACTTAAATCTAAGGGCTTACCCTATGGCTTACTTTTATTTTATCTATTAAATAATGCACTACCACTAGCATGCAATAACTTCACAGCACTATACTCTGCTTTTTACACTAAACTGTTACACATTTACACTAGCTCAAATGGTTTTGTCCTTATGAGTCTTCTCTTTAGTTCAGTGTTGTCAAGAAGCTGGATTGCCTCGACATTCACATGACTATGCAGCCTCTGCTCGTGACTTGCTGCTGTTCTCTTGATTATTTCGATCACAGTTTCCATACCCAGTCCTGGTGGAGGTTGCTGTTACGGATATACCAAGGAGCATCAACAATGTTTCTCAGTACTTTATTTTGAAATCTCTGGATAATAAGTAGATTACTAGCTTTGGTACAGCCCCAGAGTTGGCACCCATATACCCATACTGGCCTCAGTACTTGCTTGTAAATGGATAATTTATTATGAATTGACAATGTTGAATTTTTTGCAATCCATCTAATATCAAGCTCCCCTCTTTTCTTTTTGACATGGACTTTCCAGCGCAGCTTCGCGTCTAGGGTGATGCTTAAGTATTTTGCTGATGTTGTATAAGGAATTCGGGTATCATTTATTCTAACTGAAAAATCTTCTATTTTTTTATTGGTAAAGTTAATGTGTGCAGATTTAGTCTCATTTAATTTTATTCGCCATTTTCTGGTCCAGTTATGTATTTTATTTACTGATAGTTGCAATTTATCAGTCGCTTCTTCACTAGTGTCTCCTATCGCTAGTATGGCTGTATCATCCGCGAAGGTGGCAATAGTATTTTGTTCTAGCTCTGGAATGTCACACGTATACAATAGGTACAGGACCGGACCTAAGACACTTCCTTGTGGCACGCCAGCTTTGATCTCCCTTAAGTCGGTGTACACTTCTTCTTGTTTTACTCTGAAATATCTATTCGCAATGTATGATTCCAAGATTTCTGAATACTGTTTAGGCATGAACGTTCTTAGTTTATAGTTTCAACCGTCATGCCAGACTTTATCAAACGCCTGGGCTACATCCAAGAAGATTGTAGAGCAGACTTTATTTTCTTCTAATGTTTTTTCTATTATATTCGTTATTCTGTGAACTTGATCTATAGTGGAATGTTGATTTCTGAAACCAAATTGATGATTTGGTATAAGATTTTTTCTTTCTATTATTGGTTTTAATCTTTTTAATAGAAGTTTTTCAAATAGTTTTGACATCACCGGAAGGAGGGATATTGGTCGATAGGATGTCACTTCATTAGGAGATTTACCTGGTTTGGCGATCATAATTACTTCGGCTACTTTCCAGAGTCTGGGAACATATCTCAATCTAAAAGCAGCATTTATTAGGTGTGTCAGCTTAACTATGGCTTTTCTTGGTAGATTTTTTAATAATTCTCCTGTTATGAGATCATATCCTGGAGCTTTCTTAGGATTTATATTCTCTTTTATCTCTGTTGATACTTCTCTAAGTGATGTCAATGTTATTCTTTCGTCAGTTTGGAATGGTTCTTCCCATCTCAGTTCTTCACTATCATTGTCGTTGGGTTTGAACGTGCTTTCTAAATGATCTGCAAATCGTTCTGCTTTCTGTTCGTTACTTCTAGCCCAGTTGCCGTTTTCCAACTTGATAGGGGGGAATGAATAATTGGTCTCTTCAATCTTTTTGTTGCCTTCCATAAAGAATAATCTGTGTTCTGGTCAGCTGTTAAATTACTTAAAAAATAATTAATTGTTGAATTTTTTATATTCTGTATCTCCCTTTTTAGTTTTTGTGTAGCATTATTTAGACTAGTTTTGTCTCGTGGAACTCTGTATTGCTGCCATTTTTTTCTTAACTTCCTTTTTTCTACTATGAGTTCTCTGATTTCTTTTGGATAATTGTTCCCTTTTGTTCTAGAAGTTATTGTGGGAGTATTTTCCCAAGCTGACTGTTGGATATTTTTTATAAAAACTTCTAATTCGTCATCAAGTTTCCTCGTGTTTCTTAATGGAACAGCAAGATTAATTTTGTGTTCAAGGTTTATTTTGAAGCTCTCCCAGTCAGTTTTCTTATTAGTCAATATTGGATTGAACTCTTTTTTAATCACTGTATCACTCATAGTTAGAATTATCGGTGAGTGATCAGAGTTCATGTCCCAGCCGTCATTGATATCCAGATAGTTAGCTGAGATATTTTTGTAAATAAAGAAATCTATCAGGTCTGGAATTTTGTTCCTATCGGTAGGCCAGTATGTTGGTCTACCAGTAGAGATTACTTCACCCTTTTGTTCCTTAACAGCTGACAATAGTTCTTTTCCTTTAGTTGTAGTTAGCCTAGAGCCCCAGTGCGTATTTTTTGCATTAAAGTCCCCACCGATGATGTATCTTTTTCCTAAAGTGTTCATAAACTCTTTATATTGCTCTCTTTTAATGGAGTGTCTAGGAGGACAATATATTGAACTTATATTTAAGGTATGTGTTTTCATCTTCACACAGACTGTTGTAGCTTGTATGTGCTCAGTTGCATATTTTAATTCCTCATGATGCAAAATGTTATCTTTAATTATAATAGCGCTTCCTCCTTTAGCTGCATTATCTGGGTGTACAGTAGAATATACTCTATACCCCCTAAATTTAACATATGACTGTTTAGTGAAGTGTGTTTCAGAAACGAGACACAGATCAATTTTCTCAATATCTAGTACTGCTTGCAACTCGATCTGATGTTGTAACAGTCCATTTGCGTTCCACGCCATTATTCGGAGGTCTTTAGTAGCCATTTCTGATTTTCGGAATAGCTCCTTTAGCGCTATGCTCTAGTCGGGTAACTCTGATATCGATTTGAGTTATTTTGTCATCAATCTTGGTGAGCTGTTCCAATATCATTGTTAATGTAATATCAGTTTCTTTTTCTTGTTGCGATGATGCATGTCTCCTTGCATTCTTTGTTACATCGCTGTAACTTCTATTTTCACTGACCTCTGCCGTTTTTAGTTTTTTGCTTTCAATAACTCTATGGGGTGCTTTTATAACATTGTTTTTGTTTGTTCTCTCGTTTCTTATTGTTTGTAATTTTTAGCTACATAACATCCGCGGTAGTTTGCAGGATGGTTTTCTCCACAATGAACACATTTTGGTTTATCTTCTGGTGGTTTTTGGCAATCTTTAGTAAGGTGTTTACCAATACATTTTACACATCTTGGCTCCTTTTTACAGTATTTCCACGTGTGTCCGTTAGCCTGGCATCTTTTACGTTGTGGGACTAATCTGGAACTCCTTAATGGCTCGATTTCAACTCTCGTACTAAGTATGTCTGTTATGCCGTAAATTCTATTTATATCTTCATCTTGTCTAAATGTTAGGATGAACATATCTAGTGGTTTTTTAGTTTTCCATTTGAATTTCTTGTCAGCTTTAATGGCTTTATATTGTCGTTTTTGTAGGTCTTTTACTATTTCCTCTGGTGGCCATGTGTGATGTAATTTCTTAACAACAACTCTAATTGGTCTCTCTTGCTTATTTTCATAAGTGTGGTATGAAAGGTTACTCACATTTAATGTATCTATTAAAGCTCTGTAATGATCGCTATTGGCTGTATTAATTTTTATAACTTCACTGTTTATGATTTTCATAGTGAAGGTAATACCAGCCTCAGTTAGAAGCTTGCTCAGGTCAACAGCACTTTGAAAACCTTCTACTACAACCGGAGGTGGTGGTTTTGGTTTTTTGAATGGTTTTTCTATTTGTGTTTCTGCACTTGATTTTTGCGGAGAGGGAGGAGATAATGAGGTATTCATTTTACGTTTTTTGTTAGTTTTCCTGTTTTCGGTTCTTATCCAGCCCGTTTCATACGCTAAATCTTCTTCATCGGTGCAGTATTTAAGTTTATCTGTTTTTAATTTCTTTTGTGATTTATCAGCACTTGCGGTTAACCCTGTATGTTGTTCGGCTTTTTTCAGCTGTGCTAATCTCTTTTCCATATCGGCGATTATTTGACTTAACCGTTGATTATCCATATTAAGTCTCTTAACATTTTCTTCCGACTGACACCATGCATTATAAAGAGACTGCTCATTTTGTGAACGTTGTGTATTTTCTGCGAACATCGCATTATTTTGTTGGACTAGTAGTGCGTCCATTTCGGTATGAATAGGAAACATTATAAATATTTAAATATTTCGCTTACCTAAGTTAACTTGAGTTTATCGCGATAGCTTACAGCCATGGCCATTGATATCACTCACGACTAATGATATCTTAATTACTACTTAATTACCACTGATAAAAGACAAATATAAAGCAGAAAAGATAAACACAGAATGGGAGACGATCAAAAAATTAATAGAAAAAGGTGCGAATATGCAGGTAGGTAAAAGTCAAGATAAAACAAAACACCGATGGTATAGCCAATAATGTAGAGAAATAACAGAAAAAAAAAGTGCAAGTCAGAATTAAATGGCTGAGAACAGATAAAAAGGAACACAGAGAAGAATATAAAAATTAAGAAAGAATGTTAAGAAAGTGATAAGGCAAAATAAAAGTAGAAGGGTAGACAGAAAATGCAGTAAATAGAGCAGGAAAGAACAAACAAAAATATGAAAAATTTGTACAAAAAGATTAAAGAACAAAACAAAAAATGCAAAGGCAAAACAAACGAAATAAAAAATAAAGACGGAACAGTGATGATAGAGGATCAAAAATACAAGCAAGTATGGAGGGATTATTACAGAGAGCTCTTGACAAATAAAACAACAAAAGAAGAAATGAATAACGAGGAGGAAACGGTTCCCGAAGAAGAAGCAGATGAAGTAGAGATCAAAATTTCAAAAGAAGAAAAATTGGAGGAATTGGAGGAAAGAATACAGATAAGCAAAAATGAAAAAATTCCTGGTAAAGATGGAATTAATATGGAACTAATCAAATACGGAGTTAGGGGGCTGAGCTATTAAAAAATATATTGAAAGAAGAGAAAGTACCAGGAGACCGGGAGGTAGGACAGATCATAACAATAAATAGAAAGGGAGACCAACAAATTTGTGAAAATTATAGAGAAATAACGTTACTAAATACAACATATAAAATATTGACATCAATAATAAAAAGAAGGTTATCAAAGATCACAGTGGGACAGTACCAATATGGATTCACAGAAGGAAGATCTACAATAGATGCAATATATACAATAAAATAAATAATGGCAAAGCAAACGAATAAAAATTAAAATTGGAAAATTAGCTAAAGACACAAGGAAGAGAGACAAAGGAATTCAGTATAAATAAAGGGATGAAACAAGGAATGAACAACGCTATTTAATCTAGCCTTAGAATATGTACTACGAAATACAAATAAAGGAGATCTAGGAATAAGAAATAGTCAAATAATGGCATATGCAGACGATATTACTATTATTGCAAAGAATAGGAAAATAATAAAAGAGATGATAGAAGAAATAAAAGAGACAGGTGAGGTAATGGGACTAAAAATAAATCAAGAAAATACAAAAATATTAAGATTGGGGAAAAAGTTAATAAAAGAAAAAATCAAAATAGAACGTTCTGAGTTTAAAGAAGTAGAATAGTTCAAATAACTAGGAGTTACAATAAACAAAACCAGAGAAGGGAAGTCCGAATAAAAAGAAAAAATACTAGCAGCGAATAAAGCTTATTTTGCAAACAAAAGATTACTTAAAAGCAAAACACTGACTAAGACAACTAAGATAAACATTTAGTGTTTCTTTTATTTTTTAATTTGTTAAAATATCGTATGCGATAGAAAAAATTGGTTTACAGATTTGGAATCAGAGCACCAAAGTTATATAAAATCACTTGTCAAAGTTAATTTGAGATGTTTTAAATTTAAAACATCTTTTTAGAGACCCATCTAACACAGGTCTACAAATTTTTTTGTAGACCTGTGTTATTATTGGTTAGTTAAATTCTAAAGGGAAATCATGAAATGTCTCAAAATTTAAAAAAAAAACATATAATTACATCACTATAAGTACATTATTTATATTATCACTTACCGAATCATAAATACTTTTAGCTTCTTCTTTTTCTTTAACATAAGCTTCGTAGGTTTTACCGTCTATTTCCATTACAAATTTGGAAATGAATGCTTTTTCTGGTAGAACCACTGTAAATGTTGCTTCATTTGGAATATTTGCGGCATTTCGAACTTTACTAGTTACGACAGTTTTTGCATATCTGTTCGAGACATCGGAACGGATGTTGAATTCGTATGTAATTGGATATACACTTAAAGTTTTCGGACCATTTGGACTCTGAAAGTAAACAATATATAACAATAATAAGAGTCAGAGTGTCGTAGTTTATTTTAAAAAAATGGTTAATATGCCTCGCTGGAGTTGGAAAAAAAACGTTTTTCTTTTTCTCCGTTTTTTTTTTCACATTTTTTAACAAATATCCAATTACAAAACAAACTTGAATTCTCTTTACATCAAAAAGTTACATTCATTAAAGGAAAACTTTAATAATTTATTTTATTTTAAAATATTTATCTCTTTATAACGTTTATTTATAAACAAATGCACAGAAAAACTTTTACTTTTATTTACTTACTATTCGTTTAAAAGAAAAGAATCACATAAGTTTGAAGAACAAACGATAACCTAGGCAAATATATTAAAAGCCAAAGAAAAGTACTTATACAGTAGTGTAGACAAACTTATATGTAGTGACTAACCAAAAACTGGTAGAACTTTTAACAAACGTAATCAGATATTAACTTTTATATGTCAGTTCGTTAATGTCTGTGTCACGTTTTACGTTTTGGTAAGTCATGTATATATATATATATATATATATATATATATATATATATATATATATATATATATATATATATATTATTTGTAGTCTCAGCAATTGGTCTGTATGAAATAAAACTCTATTTGTTATTTCTCAATATTTCGTCACGATTTTGTGACTTCTTCAGGAGAAAACTGTAAATTTATTATAATTATTATATGTAAACAAAATGAATATTTCAATACTTACAACTTAAGATTAAAAATTTTAAATTTTGATAACATATCCAATTAGATAAATGACATTTTTTTTTTATTTTAATTTATTTTGGAGTTATGGTAACCGCAATATTTTATAGAGTGAATTCCCATTGTACAATTTTTAGCGAATAAGTTTTAATAAACAATTACATATTGTGACAGTATTATCCATATAATAAGGTGCAAAAGTAGAATATTGAGAAAGAATCAGGAACATGGTAAATTGATCTATAAAATGTAATTGATGGTACGTAGTCAGTTATTGGTCTGATGTTGTTAGATACTGATATTAAGATCTATCATATCATATATTGTTAAGTATATTACAGTAGATATTACTTAAATGGTTGGTGTCTGTCTTATAATTGATAGATTCTGGAGTTTTATTAATGTGTACCATTTCAAGGAAAAGTCGATTTTTATAATTATCAATTTGTTCTAAGATTTTTACATTATTAAAGTCAAAGTTATGTCCTGTCTTTAAGTGGTGGTCTACTAAGGCACAAGAGTTTTTTCGTAAGTTACAGTCACTTTTGTGTTGAGTGACACGTTGTTTAAGCCACTGTTGACTTTGTCCAATATAACAACTTTGACATTGACTGCAATTTATTCTATAAATTATATTACTAATATAATTAATAATATAGTTGACATTGACTGCAATTTATTCTATAAATTATATTACTAATATAATTAATAATATAGTTATAATATAATTAACAATATATGATATGATAGATCTTAATATCAGTATCTAACAACATCAGACCAATAACTGACTACGTACCATCAATTACATTTTATAGATCAATTTACCATGTTCCTGATTCTTTCTCAATATTCTACTTTTGCACCTTATTATATGGATAATACTGTCACAATATGTAATTGTTTATTAAAACTTATTCGCTAAAAATTGTACAATGGGAATTCACTCTATAAAATATTGCGGTTACCATAACTCCAAAATAAATTAAAATAAAAAAAAATGTCATTTATCTAATTGGATATGTTATCAAAATTTAAAATTTTTAATCTTAAGTTGTAAGTATTGAAATATTCATTTTGTTTACATATAATAATTATAATAAATTTACAGTTTTCTCCTGAAGAAGTCACAAAATCGTGACGAAATATTGAGAAATAACAAATAGAGTTTTATTTCATACAGACCAATTGCTGAGACTACAAATAATATTTAACACAGTACGGTCGAGAATAATTTGATAAATATATATATATATATATATATATATATATATATATATATATACATATTTTACAATATCTGTTTGTCCTTATATATATACATATTTTAGGATCTTGACAAAGGCAAGGGTTTCCTGCCGAAACGTTGATTGATTGCAATGGAAAAGAACCCAAGAAACATTAATTTTATATTTTATATATATCGCTGTTAATAAGGTACACTTACCGTCAACTTTGCACTAGTACCACTATTTACAATTACAAAGGGAATACAAACCACCCATCTCAGGCAAACACTCGCTACCAAGGCAAATAAAAAGCCTTTCATTTTGATGTATCTATACTATCTAAACTCTTAACTCTACTGTTAACACAAGTCTTTGATGTTTTTGTCTTAATAAAGTGTTAAAGGTTATCACAAAGATAATACCAAAAAAGATACCCCATTATATATCTGCATTTAATGCAAAAACATAGATGCATGCTATTTTTTGCACAGGATAACACATATTTAGTCAAAACTGTTCAGAAATAAATATGATACCGAGTATCTCCGTAGAAAATCAGTTGAACAGAAATGTGCATAGTCGTTCAACTCTAGAAGAAAAAAAAATGGATAAAAAATATCATTGTTTTTATCTTTTAAAAAAAATTTCTTCAAGATGCTTTCCATAACTGGCAAAATTATTTTAAAAATATTAACTCAAAAACTATAAACGTTGGATATAGAACCTCTTTTAAAAAATATGTCTAGAGTTTTAGGAATCATCTATAACTACAATAATAATTAAAAATGGTATTTTTGTATCCAGATTTAAGGAATATATCAACATACATTTCTTTTAATTCGTACACATCTGGACGTCGAGAGTAGTACAGCTTTCTGTATTGTCTTAAAGATGTTAACTTAGAGTAAGCTGTTTTATGTTTCTCAGCAGATTTTTTGGATAACACCAGTAGAAGAGAGAACAATAGGTACATTTATAGAATAATAGGACATGATTTTTAACCGCTGTCCAAATAAAGTCGATTGGGTGGTGGTTTATAATCAATGTTATACCTAACAGTTTCAATAATGTGTGCAGTTTTTCAGCAACTAAATCTTTAGTCAACACATTAGCTGGCATAGCATCAGTAGGCATATATTTTACATTAATTATCGTGTCAGATATTAGGTCTCTAAAAAAATGATATCTTACATCAATATGCTTACTTGTTTTCTGATAGGATTTGCTAATAAGTTTAATGCACTTTGATTATCAGTAAATAAAGTAATACATTCAGTTTTTTCAATTAAATCACTTAGCAAACCCCTAAGAAAAACAACCTCTTGACAACGCCATATCTTCTCGCCTGCCTCGTATACTGTTCTTTGTTTTGCACTTTGCCAAGATATTGCAGAGCCACAAAGATTAAATACATATCCGGTAAAGGATTTTCGATCTAATGTATTGCTTGCCTAATCAGCATTTACAAAATCTTGCAATTCTGAATCATCTTTTGAATAAATCAGAGAATAATCATTAGTGTCTTTTAAATACCTCAATACTCTTTTTGCACATTTACGATGAGATTTATTATATACATTGTTAAATTGACTCATGAAAATGACTACAAATGATATATCTGGTCTGATTAAAACATCATCATCATTGATACATACATCAAACTACTAATTAGCTTCTGATAAGGAAATTTATCTCTAATACAATTTTTACTATCATCCATTGTTAAAGATAATTTTGGTTCAATTGGAGTTTTAACTCCTTTGGCATCACTCATGTTAAATATCTTTAACAACTGGATAATATAGTTTTTCTGATTCAACGCAATATAACGTTTATTTGGTTCAAAATATATTTGCATAGCTAAACATTCCTTAATTCTACCCAAATCTTTAATAACAATTTTACATTTCGGCTCATTTTTTAGTCTACTTGTTTCACTTTCATTATTTAACAACACAAAAAAATCATCCACATATACCGCTACAACTTTAATTTTATTATTTCTCTTTTTATATAGATACAAGGTGCTAAATCAAAACCCTCTGGTGATTGTATGTATATTTTCTCTTTTAAATTACCATTTAGAAATGCTGTTTTACATCTCAATGAGTAGGTAATATCCAAACCTAATTTTACAAAAAGTGAAAAAAGCAACCTTAAAGAAGAATGTCTTATTACTGGAGCAACAGTTTCTGTATAGTCTATATTATATTCTCTTTGACTAAAACTAAGCTGCTAACTATCTTGTGCGATATGTTTCTTGACTTTAACTTTATTTTTCGCTAATACACTTTAACTTAAACACCTACTTATTATTAATTACACTAGCATTTCCGGCGCATCTACCACATCCCATGCATTGTTGTTACGGAAAGATTGGATTTCATCCATCATGGCTTCTCTCCACTTTGCTTCATCAGGACGTTGTAATGACTCCGAGACTGTTAACTGCATATTATCTTTGTACTAGTCTTTGCACACCTATATGTAACATATGTACTTAAGTCTTTTCTTTTTGTTACTCATTCTGATTTTGTGTGTACTTTTTGTAATGTTTCAGGTAAATTGAGCACTTCAAAGTTTTTATCACTTAAGTTATTTTCTTCATAGTAGCTAAATTCTTCGTCACTAAAAATATTATCATTATCTTTAGACTTAGTTTCAACATTATCTTTGTTTTGTTTCCTCACTGAAATTAGAGTTCATGTTCATCTTAAATCAAAATGAATCCCTTCAAACTTTTTTATGTCTTCCATAATTTGTACATTTCTTTAGTGGTTAGAATATAAACACTGTATTTTCAGCATACCCTACTAAAATGTGCAAACTAGCCTTTTTCTCCCACTTTGACTTTTTTCTTTTAAAACATGTACCATCACATTGCTGCCAAATATTCGAAGGCCACTAAAACCAGGTTTACTATCTGTCCACATTTTAAACGGTGTTTTGTTTAAACTAGAAGCCAAAGATTTATTTTTAAAGTAAGTAAACAGCTGTGTTCACAACTTAAGCCCAAAAAAACATTCTTAAGATTGGCGTCAAGCAAAAGACATTTTGCCTTTTCGACAATTGTCCTATTCAAAAGTTCAGATACTCCGTTTTGTTCAAGATTGTAGGGATTGGCTTTTTATGTATAATACTATTTACACTTAAATATCTTTCAAATTCTTTTGAACAAAATTTTCCACCATTGTCACTTTGCAGAGTTTTTATATGAACACCCTTCTGGTTTTCAGCCATTCTTTTAAAATTCTTGAAACAATTAAAAATTTCATTTTGTTTTAATAAAATAACTGAAAACCATATTACTAAAAATCCATAGGTCCATATATATCAGTGTGTATAATCTCCAATAAACTACTATCTCTGTGACCTTGCTGTGGAAACGGTAATCGTGTTTGTTTGCCCTCTCAACAAACTATGTCAATTTCCCCAGTCACATTCAGTCCATCTACTATTCCATCTTTCATATTATTTAAATAAACACTATTTATATGGCTAAACCGTTTATGCCATTGACAAATAAACAATTTTCAAAATCTTTATTAACCTTAATATTTAATTTGTACACATTATTTATCAAGTCTGCCTTTGCGATTGGTTCAGAAATTTTGTTAAATATTTTGCAACAATGATTTTCAAATTTAATTGAATGTCCATTATCTATTAATTTGCTGACAATTAAAAGGTTAGTTGTAAGTTCTAGAAGACAAAGAGCATTTTGAACTACAAGTTTAGTACAGTTCTTGTTAGCAACTATAATATCACATGTATCACGTACTCTTGTATTATTAATCAAGTCTTGATTTGGTGTTAAATAAACACTAGCTCCCGAGGCTTCAATTCCCAATTCCCGATGTTTTCAATTTTGGATATTTATTTTTATAATGTCAGATATTTTACAATAATAACATCTAATTTTAACAGACCTCTATCTCTCTTATCATCTACGTCGTCATCACTTCTTCTGTAATTTGTGCTATTTTCAAACCGTCTTTTGTGATTGGTTCTGGTTTTGTTACTGTTACCACTTGCAAACGCACTACCAGTATTACCAATATCACCTTCCATGTCAGTTTTGTTTTAATTAAATCGGTAGAAATCACAATTCCCGGATGTTCGATCTCCAATATCATTGGTGAAAAACGCTCAGGTAATCCCGCCAAAAGTAGAGAACCTATCCACTCATCGTCAATGTTAAAACCAGTTCCACTTAATTTTTGCCTCTTTTCAACTATTGGTTTACATAATTAGATAACTTGCCAGAAAGCGAGATTAAAACTTTCTACGAAGACCTAGACAACATTTTAAATTCCATTAAAATGTAAGATGTAACAATTATAATGGGAGACTTTAACGCAAAGGTTGGGGAAAAAAAAGTAAAAGAATGTACAGGAGGATATGGTCTGGGCTGAACAGAACAGAACAGAAACGAAAGGGTTGACAGGCTTATCTACTTTTGCCAAAACAATAATTTTGTTATAGCCGATACATTGTTCAAAATGCCAAAGAGAAGTATATACACGGAAGTCACCAGCATATCAAGAAAAGAGAATTGTAAGAAACCAAATAGACTATGTATTAGTTAGACAAAGATACAGGAACGCAATTATATCCACAAAAACCTATCCAGGTGCAGACATAGGATCAGATCACAACCCAGTAGTGACCAAAATTATACTCAAAATAAAATTAATAAAACAGAGAACGACAAATGCAAACACCGATACAAGTAGACGGATAAAAAATGGTTATTAATAAAGACAGAAATAGATAAAAGTCGAAAATAAATTCTAATACCAACCAGATACAAAAATAAGCAATGGATGACGGAAGAAATTTTAGATTTAATGGAAGAAAGTCGTCAATATAAAAACAAAGATAATCAGGTGTACAAAAAAGTACATTAAGAAAGCGAAAGAACAATGGTTAAAAGAACAATGCGCAGAAATAGAAGAATACCAGAAAAGACATGATAATTTCAACACACATAAAAAAATTAAAGATTTAACTCACAACAATAGAACAAGAAAACAGGGAATACTGAAAGATGTAAATGAGAAACTTGTGTTCAATACTAACGACAAATTAAAAAGATGGACAGAATATATCAATAAACTGTTCAAAGACAATAGAACAGAGCAGATGGAGATAGAAGTAGAACAGGATATGGTTTTAAAGATATTAAAGAGAAAATTAAAATGGCATTAAAAACAGCAAAAATGGTAAAGCAGTAGGTCCAGACCAAAATTCTATAGAAATGTTAAAATGCATAAATGATGAAACCTTAGTCATTATAGTAGACTTATTTAACTCAGTATACAAAATAGGACACATACCGAAACAATGGTTACTCTCCAACTTTTGTGCTATCCCTAAAAA